TTACTACTAGTAAGGCACTTGTTACTAGTAGCGATGCACTTGTTACTAACAGCTTCTTGTTACTACTAGTAAGGCACTTGTTACTACTAATACTAGTAAGGCACTTGTTACTAGTAGCGATGCACTTGTTACTAATAGCTTCTTGTTACTACCAGTAAGGCACTTGTTACTAGTAGCGTGGCACTTGTTTCTACTAGCTTCTTGTTACTACTAGCAAGGCACTTGTTACCACTAGTAAGGCACTTGTCACTAGTAGCTATTAGGTTGCTCTTCCGGTCACTTCCGTTCCTTTTCTTCTGAGATTTTTATCTGCAGGTCAAGACTGAAGCTGTCTCATGTGCTTTTCAAGGGAGGTGTTTGTTTGTAGATTCTCGTTCGACGTCTTTTTCTTAGAGCATGCAAAGGCAAGTAGGTGAGTTTGAATCCTGTGAAGTCGCGCAGGTATCTCACCATCCGACCAATGGCATCACCTTTGTGTCTGGTGGAAAGTGGACAACCTGGCGAGAAATGGCGGAAGATGGAGTTGACCAGGTTGTTGAAGGACATCCCGAGCTCAAGAAGAAGGTGGGCCCATGCATATTAGAAAGAACCATGTGCTTCTTTTCGGATGTTTTGCTTTTCCAAGCCAACCTTTGTACATCCATTCCAAACTCTTGTCCTTGCTGTTTGCAGAATGGCTAAATGAAAGCAACGCGGTGTTTTTGGCTAGACTGCTGGACATTCTTGACAACTTGTCTTTCATTTGCACTTTTCAGGCTGGGCCATCCAAGACGCTGGAAACGCCGCTGCTGGGAACCGGCAAGACAGATCTTTTCCCGGAAGGACCCGCCGGTGAATCTGCTGCAAACAGAATCCTTTACAGCGGATCCAAGAAGAGCCTGTTGCTTCTTAAGAGTGTTTTTTGTTTGGAAAAGATAGATGTAGAAAATCTGACACGACATTGTGTACAAGATGCCCCAGGATACAATTCTCAGGCCAACACCTTTTCAATATTCCACGGCCAGTGCTTCACGGTTTTTTGTAGATAGCTCCTATGCGTTTTGGCAATGGAGGATACCATGAGAACTTGGCGGTGACTCTTTCCCAGAAGTATGATTTGGCATTCGATGTAGCTCAGCATTTGGTGCGAAACTATGGCACCAGGGCAACTTGTTTGAAGATCTTGATGTAGAACTTGAACCCTCGCCGGGCTCGCAAAGTGCCAAACACTTTCTGAGGCAGGGCAGGTACTGGACATGGTGGACCAGGACACTGTCAAAGGTGTCTTCGCTGGGAATGGTATTGTGTAGTAGGCTACTGTGGGATTTATTGACTGCTGAACAGTCTGAGGTTCACGCTCTGGCTTGTACAAGCATTATCGCAGATTGTATGAGGGTGCTGCCGCTACGACAGGGTATCCCTACCTCGAAGCTGAAGTTCGGTATGCAGTCACCTGCCTCGAATCATTGGTTCTGAGGGAATGTTTGGGTGACATGCTTCTTGGATCTTATTGCATCAGATCTTATTTCGCATAGTTTTGTTGCATCTCCTTGCCAATGTCACTTTGAGGTGAACCACGAATATGCCGTGACCCCTGCAGATGTGCTGGCGCGAAGAACGCGTCTGGCATTCCTGAACTCCACTGCTGCAAGATTATGCCTGCCGCGAGTGGTTGAAATCATGGCGGACGCTTGGTTTTGATTCTGCTGCAAAAACTGTAAGGGTCGCCTAAATGGGCTTTAACAGGTATGGGAGGACTATATGATATGTTTGGTCGAGATTGATGGATCAATGATCAAAGTCGACAATATTTATGCCACCAGTCGCTTGGAGTAGCGGCTAGGAATGCCTTGGCTGGTCTCCTGAGCGGGCTTTGATGGAACACGAGCAAGCGGAACAGCTCCTTGCTCGTGATTTCGCCGGACCGGCGGCTTGACTAAAGAGAGACTTATCGTGTACTTAGAGGCAGCTAGTTTTTTGCAGGTTTTGCCGCAAACAGTGTGGCAACACTAATTAGGGGTTCTTAAGGTAAGGGTTAAGGCCGGGTGTCTGATCTGAGGTTCTCATCGGCGTGTCCGGCTAATTCGCTGCTATTTACAGTACATTCATTCACTGCGAGATCTTCGAAGTGCCTTTCGACTGGGCAGGCTCGCAGAAATTGGTGGGCTGGCACGGGTGCTCTTCTCGACTGCGCTCTCGTCGTGGTGCCGTGCACATTTTTGGACTTGGCGGTCACTTTTGAATGGCAGGCGCAAGGGGGACCTCGTTTTTGTGTGGTCCAAAGCCGGCTTTTCGTGGCAGGCGCGCCCTGAATTCGTAGCAGGTACAGTGAATCGTGACTTGGACATGTGGCTAGTTTTCAGAAGCCGGGGAAAGTCTTCAGTGAAAGCCGCTCTTTGGCCTCTATGTTGTCTTTGGAAGTGCTCTTGCTGCGAAACACCTTGACAGGGCTGCGCAATGTGAATATGATTGGTGTGCAGATTTTTGTGGCAGGCGCAGCGCTTTTCTGGACCTTGAAGTTCTGATGTCGTGGCAGGCGCAGCACTTTGTGGACCTTGAAGCGCAGATTTTGTGGCAGGCGGCAGGGCCACCATCACCACCCATCACCACCCATCACCACCACCACCATCACCACCACCACCACCATCACCATCATCACCACCATCACCACCATCGTCATCTTCACCACCACCCTCACCATGGTCACCACCACCATCATCACCACCATCACCACCCTCACCACCACCATCGTCATCTTCACCACCACCACCACCATCACCATCATCACCGTCATTGCCACCACCACGGCTTTTGCCAATCACCGCCATCACTACCACCACTACCACCATCATCACCACCATCACCACCATCACCACCATCACCACCATCACCACCATCACCATCACCACTACCACCATCACCACCATCACCACCATCACCACCATCACCACCACCATCATCACCACCATCACGCCTCTCCGGAACTCAACGGGTCTAGACCTTTAGACCGTTTCCATCTGACTTATTTAGATAGGTACCTACTTAATTATGTAAGGGCGGGCGCCCCCCAAAAAAACTGACAAATGTTTTAGTTTTTTTTCACTCGGTTCTTTTCCTTTTAGGTTTCCGCCCTGTAGGCCAATTGGTTGGTGTGAACTTGTGATACTTTTGGGCGCACTGGGTGCACCATTGAGGTGCCGGATAAAAAGGGCGCATTGCTTCGTTCGGCCTGCACAGCAGATGTCAAGGACTGACAGGTTCAAAAAAAGTGCATGCTTGCCTGCATATTGCCACGGATATATTCTTGCGATGGACATGCCTTTACCTTGCAACCGGAGGGTGCCAGTAATTATGGGGCTTGGACCTGGAGGTTCCCGGCAGCTGAACACAATGAAAACTAAACCCAGTACTTATTTATTGGGCAATGGGCAATGGGAATCTTTTTCGATTTAGTCTGTCCAGTTGGCTGTTCGCGGGGTTGAGGTACCACATGTACATGCATTCTGCATTCGCCTTTTTAGCCATGTGAAGATGGACCACACTATGTAAAGCGTGGCAAGGCGACATCAAGAAACAGGCTTTGAGGTGTTTCCGGAATGAGTAAATCCGTAATCTCTCTTGAACGACATCCCGCGGGGTATTCTCAATCGTCTAGGATGTGTTTGACCACATCGACGCGGAGCAGAAGGGTACGCTCACCAAGGCTGGCATTGCCAAGGCTGGTAGCTGGGGCTGCCATCAACTAGAATCATTAGAACCAGAAGACACATTCCAACATTTTTCAACAAGTTTGTCACTACATACCCGGCAGCACGAAACCTGGGTTTGCCCTATTTGGAGGCAGCGGCTGAGCTTGGATTCCCTCTTTCTCAAGATGAGCTTCAGAAAGCTGTTAGCGAGATGGACACAGACAAGCCCACGGCCTAGTTATTTGTAAGGTGTACACCGACTCCGTCTCTTCAACCGTAGCTGTGATGCGACCAGGAACGGAGAGGTTCATTTTCCAGAGTTCTTGGTGCCTTGGACATGAAGTGCCTTCTGCAACTTTTCAACAGAACCGTTTTGTTCTTTTTCTTTTTTCTAGGTTTCTTTTGTTGCTTTCGCTTCTGCTTTTGCTTCTACTTTTGCTATTTGGATTTTGCTGCTCCCAGTGGCCAGACTTCATTGGAACCTGTGCTGTTGCAAGTGGCCAGCTTGAAATGCTGTGCTGCTTGCAGTGGCCCAGGCTCTAACGAGCGTGTGTTACTTCCAATGCTGTGCTGGAGTCAAACTTAAAAGAGGCAGGAGCCATTCAGAGGAGGAAGGCGCCATTCCGAGGAGGCAGGAGCAAGCCACGCAGGCAGACTTTAGGCGGACCTTTTTGTGAGCCACAAGGCAGCGGACTTTTTGTTAGCCACCCGAAGACAAGTTCTAGAGTCTAGAGGAGGAAGGTGCCATTCCATCGTAGCAGACCTTTTGTGAGCCACCCGAGGGCAAAACTTAGAGAAGGAACCATTCCAATGTAGCAGTCACTGTCTCGCCCTCTCCCTCCCGCTCGCTCCCTTCTTCTTCTCCTGACCCTTCTGCTGCTCCTGGTGATCCTACAGCACCCCTAGAACATTCGAAAAAAATAAGCCAGGAAAAACCCGGAAAAATACCAGACAAACCACAACCCCTTTTCAACAGTGTGGCTTCCAGAAGTCGATTCAACAGATTCAAGACATTATGTCAACATAAGGCCTGGTGGAATTCGCACCTTGCTTGCAAGACACATGGAAGAGAAGCCGAACTGGCTGAATGGTCTGGAATGTGGTTCCTGCCCTCTGAGACTCAGGTCAGAGAAGAGCCAGGGTGTCCATCAGAAAATCTTCATGGGAACCCGCAGAGGGTCCAGGCAGGGTCATTGAGTCATTGGTGCTTTCTCAGGTTGGGGTAGGTTTCGTGAAGTGTCCCTGATTTGATGTAGGTGGAAGACCATTGAGGAGTGAGCAAGTGCAAGTGAGTTTGCATAGAAGTTGCCCAGTCACGACCAGATGCAGCGGCAAAGCCAGTGTCCAAAGAGTGCAGAGGTGTGCAGCTGTAGCGTCCAGAAGCACTAATCCTTTTCTGAGGGTTTCGGAGGGTCGTCGTCATGGGCCAGAGTTTCAACATCAATGGTGGGTGCACGGCAATACGGCTCACATCATCAACTCAGCTCCAGGTTTTTTCCCGCCACGATCGACCCTCCCATTTCTTGCTGTGAATTGCGCTTGCTGAGCGCTGGAGGCCTTTCCTTATTGCCATAGGGACGTGCATCAAGTGATTTGGGTATCCCATCAATGTGTCCCAGTTCGCAAACAAGCTTTTGTTTCTGTGCGGCTGCGCTGAAGCTCCCCGATTTTCGAGTCTTGTGCTGGTCAGGTTGCCTACCCTTCGATGTGCATTTTCAATAGACCTTTTTCTCCGTATATACATGAATCATCGGTGTATCTGGATTGGCCATGATTGACCCGTATAACCTGGTTGATGTAAGGAGTTCAACAATGTGCCGTGGAGCAGCTTTGGTAGCCAACGCTATTAATCATAATCCAAGAATGCCACATTGAAGGGTAAGGCCTGACGATCCAAGCAAAGAGACAGTCAACTCAGATTAGAGTTGATTCTCCAACTGCGACTCTTGTGGCATCAGCGGCCGGCAGTGTCAAAGAGATTTTGGAGCGTTCGTCGTCTCTTGCGGGCGTGGTGCACTGACAGGGACACAAACACGGACACACACACACACACACAACACACAACCGAAGACGTGCAAACACGGACCACAGCACGCTCAATGGCAACATGTTCATGTTCTTCATGGAACGTGCTGGATAGAGACTTTTTGCAATGAGGCGGTGCTCAAATCATCTGGGAGATATGCTGGGGCCTTGTTCTAGCGCAAGAAGTTCCCAGCTCTTGGGCCCAGACCGAGGTTTGCGTTTCCCACGCACGACCTGGCCAAAGAGTGCCACTCCTGAGCTCCTTTACCAAGGTCTTCGTACGGAAAAAGACAGCGAACCAAGCCCACGTGACGTGCGCAGGAGAGTCCGTGGGAGGTCTTCACCAACACCATCCCACGACCTTTGGCCTGAGCCTTATTGCTTTGGCTTGGCCATGGCCTTCCCCCTTTGCACCTCACTACTAGATTCGCTCAGGATGCTTCTCCAGAACCAAAGAAGGGCGGAAAGGCAGGGAACTTTTTGGGCCAATTCAGTCTGCTTGGGATCTTGCCTTGTGGTTTGTTTGTTAGCGTATATAGGTCCTCTCATGTCGGATAGCGGGCTCAAGGGAGACAGCCGGGGAACATACAGAAACTGAGAAACTGGGCCAGCAGAGTGATCAGAAAAGCACAGCCATGCTATTTTCCTCCATTAACCGTTGGAAGATGTAATTTTCCAGTCGAGTTGTACCTAGATTCTGCTCATGGCAGCTCCTCGTGCGTGTTGCTTGCTGCTAAGTTACCGTTTGGTATTTGGATCTGTGTTTGACTGGCCAGATGTGCTTGGTGTATCGACCTGGCTCTTTGATCAGGGTTCCACCTTTGGGTATCGACCTGAGCCCCTCGGAGAGTCGACGGCCCTGCGAGGGCCCGCCCCGGATTGGTCGCTGGGAGATTCACGGGTACCTCTGATGCATTTCCAGGGTCACTGGGCCAATCCGGTAAATGCAACTTCTTATCCTGGTTCCATTCTTTTTGCTTCTGAATCCGAAGGGCTTCGGTTCCGAGCTCATTTGATCTTTGACTCTGCAAACTTATCGCTTGTGAAATTGACACTGGAAAATAGTGGCAAGCAGACTGCTCACGGCCAGTTCAGCATTGGAGGTTCAGGTGCCAACATCTCAGCACAACCAGGTGAAGAAATCAATTTCGGGTTGCCCAATTCATCCATGCCTTGCTTTGCCCCTTCACTATATGGACGAGGACGGTTGGTCTTGATCCAATCGGTCCTTCTGAAAGATGAATTGCAGCCGCTTAGTTGGAACGTCACTGACAGCAAGGAGCACTTCGAAGCAACCTCCCTGCAAATCGACATTTCCCCAGCCGCAATGGCAACTGCTTTCATTCTTGTCACACCAGTGGCAAGCGTTCCGGACAGGATGGACTTTCGTGATTTGAGCGACCGATTCCGCCGAAGCATTTGGCGTTGGGAAGGCTACTTGCAAGCTGTCAAGGCTCAGCTCCCAGCCCGAAAGTCCCAACTGGACAAGGATGCCATTGTGGCTTGGTCTGCTGTGAAGTCTGTTATGACTCTGTTGGGTAACTGGAGAACTGTGCCAGGATTGCCCTCTGGAGTTCTGCCATCCTACATTGGCTATGAGGGTGGCTTTTGGTCCTGGGACACTTACAAGCAAGCAGTTGGGATGGTGCACTTTGCACCTGACTTGGCTAAAGATCAGCTACGCTTGCTGGTGTCTGCTAGAGATGCAACTGGCCATATCCCTGACAAGGTGGATCGCTGTGGGCATGGGGGTGGCTGCAGTGGAAAGCCACCTTTACTAGGATGGGCAGTTTGGACGGTCTTTCAGCAAACCCAGGATCTCGCATTTCTTCACGAGATGTATTCCATTGTAAGCAACTTTCATCACTTTTGGTACAAGCATCGAGATGTCACTGGAGCTGGTCTTTGCTCTTGGACAGAAGGAATGGAGAGCGGAATGGATGATGGAGTGCGGTTTCAACCTGAGTTCGCAAGGTCTGTCGCCAACACCACCAGTCATGCTCCTTTTCTGGAACATCTTGGCGCTTTGGGTTGAAGTTGCATTTTGCAATTGCCTGCATTCCTGATCGCGATGAGGTTACTACCCTCGACTTTTGGAGTGTAGATTTGAACTCGTACCTGTTCAAGGAAAAAAAGAAGCTTGGCTGAACGTAGCCGTTTTACATCGTTTTCATGATACCGTCTTTCTTGGTCACAGCAATTACTTCACCTTTACAGGTTGTTATCCCAGATGGCAGCTCTCCTGGCATACTCCGATGACGCACGGGAATGGGAGCAAGATGCAGAAGCTTTGCTGCCCAAGTTGCAGAACACCTTCTTCGTCCCAGATGGAGACAGGAGAGTGAGAGCGAGATAGAGATGGAGAGTGAGACCACAAAGACATATTGACATACATAGATAGCACATTTGCTTGTTCCGCACCCAGAGTTATGATTTTGCTTTCTGGACTCCAGTTTGCAGGGCAGGATTCTTTTCCGATGTGTACTTCAATGGCTCGGTGTTGGAGCCCAGAGCTTGCAGAGTTATGCAGCTCTGGAGTCAAGATCTCTCCGAGGCTTTGCCCATAAAGGGCTGCGAGGGCTTTGCGGCCCTTTTTTCTGGAGTGGCCACATATTCCCAGGCCACGCGACATCTCGCTGTTCTCACTGTGGGTCTTAACCCGTCCAGTCACAGCTTGCAATGGCACCAGGCACTGAGGATGGCCAATACTCTTTGGGATTCCAATCAGTTCTTCCTGAATTTCAGCCTTCCCACAGTGCCGTATCTGTATGGTAAGTTTCATCGTCGTCGTTTGAGAAGAGAGAGCCTGATGGATAGCCTAAGTATAAAGTGTCTAAGGTGAGCAAGAACAATCGTTTCTTCAATGCCCAGGGGTACTGGAAGGGCCAGAATCTCAAGGCTTCTGTTTCCAGCTCATGCGGAGCGACCTAGTGTTGGACTGTGAGGCCCTACATGGATCGATCAAACTTGGTTTGCGTATACTGGGCTGAGAAGTCTTGGGCTAAGCATGCGAGAGCTCGGAAGTATGATGTGCTTGCAAGAATCTGCCATTGATGCCGCTCGTGCTTTTGATCAACTTACCCTTTGAATCCTTTGTGCCAAACTCCTGAACCAAAATGCAACATCTCTGTTACTGGTAGCTTCTTGCTACTAGTAGTAATGGCCTCCAACCTAATAGCGATGGCCTCCAGCTTCTTGCTACTAGTAGCTTAAGGCATTCAGCACGTTGTTGCCTTTGATTGTTCTGCCCAGCAGCGAAGGCTTTGCTCGCATCAAGGGCAATGGTTCTTCAGTGAGCTCCTCAGCTTCCAGCTTCTGTTTTCGCTTCGTCCATTTGAAAGCTACTGCAGGCTCAAGTTATACACGCTATATAACTGCTTTCATGTTTGTCTTCCAGCAGGTGAATATGCCACAGTTGCAGTTATATATGTATATATAAAAGTATGCACACATATATCTACAAATATAGTATGGGTGACAAATCTATTTAACAGGCCAAACCGAAGGACTCCAGGGTGCTGTGAAAGCCTGCCGAGATACAACGTTATATATATATATAAGATGAACAGTCCACACCTTAGCAACTGCACGGGTGGGGTAGTGGCACGCCTGTCCGCCGAGCGTTGCACCTGGGGATTGAACCCGGGTCCGACGCAGCCACGACGTCTTGTTGCGTCGTTTCACAAGAATTGCACTTCAGGTCTTTGCAGGGCTTGCGTCAGAGCTGAAGCAGAGAATCTTCCGGGGCTTTGTATCCAACGATACGACCCGCTTGGTGATGATGGGTGAAGGGTGCCATACATCTAGTAAATCAGTCCGAAGAATGTACTTCAGAGAAAGACACACCGCCAGGACACCTTTACATGAGCACTACCATCCGGAGACAGGAGATTTCGAAGAATGCTATTTTTGGATGTGTTTGCCTGGAGCAGGTGAATGCTTTGCACCCCTTCATTTTGTTTATGACTTGGGAGGAGCTCCACAGGGAGTTCCCCATTTCAGCTGGACAGCTGCTCACCTGCTGATGTGGGTAGATGAGGGGAATAAGACCTCGTCTGCCTTGGCTCCTTGACAGAATGGCCCATTTTGTGGAAGTCAGGCGTTCATTGGGGTGATTAACCTGCCATGTTATGTTGTGTGTGTGCTCACGGGAATCCAGTTTGGACTTGCTTGGTGCGAGGTAAATGAGGATGATGTGACGTGGATTTGATCTATTTCTATCGATGTTTGGCCCAAAGTAGGCCATGTGATTGATCGGACTGACTCAGTTCGAGCCTGTACATACCACCAATGCACCGTTTGAAATGATTTCAAGTGTCCGTACGTCTCTGTGAAGAAAGTCGCAGATGGTTCGTTTTAATCCGCAGATGGTGTCGTTGCAGATAGCTGTCAATCCGACTCTTCGGTGTGGCTGACCTGAAGAGGCTCCCAAAGGCGCGCCTGATCCGGGAGGCTTGTCAGTCTCCCCTGTGGCGACTCCGGAGGATCATGTGCAGCTGGTCTCAAGGATTCTCAAGGTGTGTCTGCCAAAAAAGACTCCCTGCCAGTTCTTTTCGCAGAATACCACTAGTTGTTGCTGTTGTCCATTTTTCTTGCTTTAATGGTTTGACCATTTTGTTGCTGGTTGCCTTTATCCCCCCACGCATCACGCACAGAATCGAGGTATCACGTCTACTGCTGCGAGATGCCGGATGCACGAAAAGCGGGTGAAGCTGAGGAAGGTGATCTGGGTGAAGCGGCTGCAGAGACCTAACAGAGCACAAGAAGTGCTTGATGATGCGCTGTTTCACCTGTTTCACTCAGCTTCCACTCTAGTGTTGAAGCTGCGCAACGTGGGCAGCAAGAAAATGTAACTACCTTACTAGACTCATAGATGTTGCAGTTGTGGATGAGATTGCTGGTGAAGCCTAGCAAGATACACACAAACTCCATGACCTTCGCAGAAGGAGTGGCTCATATTCAGTACATTGTAGCATGATGGCAGCAATAGCCACTTTGAATTGTACATGGCAAATGTATATAAATATGTTGAAGAACCAACTGCACGCCGATAGCAAAACAAACAAGCCAGAACTGTTCACCTCTTTGCAGATCAGACCCACGAGACTGAAGGCCTTGCCACGGATGTTGTCTCAATAGATTGGTAGATTTAGCTGAAATGGTTGGCCGCACTCTGTGCAGCTCTCAGATTTTGAACTCGCGAGACGGTGAGACGGTGATGTTGCTCCCGAGGCCTCTTGAAGGCAAAGTGGTCCAAGTCCATGGCATCATCCTCAGCGGATCTGAACAAACGGACGGCCACGTGCAGATTGCTCCAAGGCGTGGGCTCGCTGGCCGATGTCCAACGAATTGATAGCCTCGGTGATGGGAGGCGCATGTCTCAGTCTAGATAAAGGTCGTAGCTGAAGATGGAAGATGCACAGATGGAAGACCTTTTAGGACTTGAGGGCCTTCAGGGGTCTTGGGTCAAAAGTTGAGACCAGGGCATCGCAGATTCGGTCCAAGCAACTGTTTGTTCGTCCTCTTGCTACTAGTAACAAGTGCATCGCTAGTAGTAACAAGTGCCTTACTATTAGTAACAAGTGCCACGCTACTAGTAACAAAATCCAGTTCACCATTTCACGATTCTGTGTCGACACCAAGGCAGGTGCCAGATCTTAATGGCCTCGTAGGACGTGCTCTTGGCCTGGCTTCAGGATGTGCAAGGCGAGCTGGCGGGTGGTGCCACTAGGCAGAAGCTACTAGGTGGAGGCCATCGCTACTAGTAGCTCCTGGCCTTACTACTAGTAACAAGAAGCTACTAGGGGCTCCTGGCCGTACTGCTAGGAGCAAGGATGCTACTGAGGGCTCCTGGCCGTACTACTAGGAGCATCCTTACTAGATGGAGGCCATCGCTATACCCATCGTCTACTGACGCGAGCTGAGACTGACAGCTCTCACAGGCACTACGCCGTGGAGCTTTGGGACTTGGGAATGACCTTTGTCAGGGTCTCGCAGGGCTTTCGGAGCTTGATTCTGTCTTCAGTCTTTCCGTTCTCGTTCCTGACTGGATGAATAGTTTTAGGGCCATTGATGGACAATTTTCATTACAGCATGCAATTCATCCTTTGCTTTCGCATGCGCCTAGTTTGTGTTTGATTGATGTTGAGGCGCTTTTGCCAGAAAACCTGGTCGAACATGTTTCACCACCTGCCCAGGCCAAGTCCGAGGATCCTGTAGCACTGTAGTTTGACTTGGATGGAGCCACTTTCGTGCAAAGGATGGAGGTTTTGACCTGGTGTTCCCTGCTCCAGTGCCATCCTCAATCCAGAACCCGTCGTATCACTTCGTGTCACTTCAGTCGACCAGCATGGATCCTCCAAGGAGCCTGAAGCAATGCTGGACTTTGGCATGAAACTAGGCCTGAACACCTTTGATAGGGATGAAACTGAGAGATGAGATCAGGAGATCCGTCCGACATGATCTGATCAAAGTCCAACGCTAGGTGAACTTGTGGAGTCAAAGGGGTGGGCAGTGGTACAGCTCTCTGACTCGGATGCCCTATGCCCCCCGGCCTGAGATTTGCTGGCTGGCATGATGTGGTGATACAGCTTCAAGCCTCACCTGACTCAGTCTCATATTGCTGCAAGGTGAGGCAGCCTGCCGAGAAGCTCGGTCAATCCGACGCTTCACGAGCACGGCGCCCAGCAACAGGAGAGCGTCTTCCTTTGATGCTGCAGTTGGTCCGATCGCCAAGTCTTCTTTTAATGGTTGGTTGCGAACATTTTGGACATTGGCAGAATGCTTTGCCGTTTTTAGTGCCACCTCCCCCCTACCTAACCCATCATAGCCACGCTAGATTCGTGTATGCTTGATCAGCAATATAAAGTTGACCGCCCTTCTCACCTGTGGACCAACACCTTGCTCAAATCCACAGTTGCATGCACCGCCAAAGATGATCTTCGGGATGGTTGTGTGGATAAACCCTGCGGAGAGAGAGAGAGAGAGAGAGAGAGATGGAGTGCCTTGTTTGGCAGCATGAGCCAGGTTTGCGGCAGGAAATGATAGCGGATTACCTTGGACATGGCGCTCGAGGCACATGAATGTTCAGGTTTACTTTAAACGGTCCTTGAGTTGTGCATTCTGCAGAACAGTGAGGAAAGGTCCAATTCCTGTCTCCTCAACGCGCAAGAGACGAGCCAGCCAACCCCTTGGCATGATGAACAGTGCTTTTGGGTGCTCCGTGCTGGGAGTTGGACTCGTGCGATGCTAAGAATCTCAACCGTTTGGACTCGGAGTTTACGATCCTGGCGCAGGTTGCTTGTGAGTGGCAGCGGTCAGGAATTCACTCAAGTTGTTGAAAGAGTAAATGCATTAAACGTGCTGCAGGCAGTGGCTGCAAATTCTTGGCACAACATGGGATTCCGCCAGAAGCTTTGGCTTCTTTGTGCCTGCGCAGCTCTTGTTTTGCTGTGGCGCCAATTCTGCCCGACAGGCTGCATTGGAGAACGGTGGCCTGGTATGGTGTGGCTGGCTTATTCTGAAGGCGTTTTGCTCTATACAATTCATGTGCAGAGGCTTCTACATCAATCTGCACGTTTGACGTAGTGTCGTAGTGTCGTGGTGTATAGATGTGAGACGCTCAAGCACAATGGCTCCACACCAAGGTGGGTGCCTTATGCCACACGTGCGGACCTTGTTCAGCGTTTAGTGCGTCCCGCACGCTTCTTCCCCCGAGGGCGAGAGGAGTTCTCTCTTGAAAGTGACCCATTGAATGTTCGTGCCTCGGGGGCTAGTCTCGATGCCCGACAAGTTGGGAAAACGTTGCCTAATTACTTGTTTTGGCCGAGGATGATGACGTCGAAGAGGGACATTTGGAGGACATGGTCCGTTGCGGGGATTGGGCGGCGACCAGGAACATCAGTTTGACATTTGAGGAGCATCTTCGATTTCTCCGGCGGCGGAAGCTGTGCTGCATGATGTGGCTCTGGCCTCACAGGGCCATGAGACTGTGGTTTGGAACTTGTCCCTGAAATGCACTGAGGCTGGAGTCTGGGGGCGAAATCGTTCTCAACCCTGCCAGTGGTAGACCAGAGCCAGCGGCTGGGTTGCTCAGTCGGTAAGTCTGTTTGAGCCACACAAGAGTTCACAAGTAGCAAGAATGCTACTGGTAGTAATGCCCTTTATAGCAGCGATGCCCTTGTTACTAGTAGCTTCTTCTTACTAGGTAGCGATGCGCTTTGTCACTAGTAGCGATGCCCTTGTTCCCAGTAGCTAGGTGTTTGATCGTTGAATCCAATGAGGTCACCCTCCCCGCCATGAGACGGAAGCTCTTGGTTTTTCGAGGAGTGAGGATGCTCAGTCTGCTCAGTTTTCAGATGTTTTCAGTGTTCAGTTGGTCGCACTCTTGACAGCTCTTGAGGGATCTGATCTAACCATTCACCAAGGATCGCATGAGCTTCTCCTTCAAGCCTGATGGCAGGCCAAAACAAGACGAGCATATCGAGCATTGTTCGACCTTGTGCTTTTCAAGTGTCCGAACAAAGCCCCACAAAACATCCAACTTGAAGGTTTGCAGTTCTTCAGACGTGGGTGTTGGAACCTCCTCCAAAGTCCTGCGCCAAGCTGGTGCGTCGGCAGAAGGATGATGAGACCTTTTCGGCGCTGAGGTTCCAGATTGGGAAACTGGAGGGCCACCCCATGATGAAGGCCGGCGCAGCATTGATGTGCTGACCTAGACTGGTAAGGAAGATCAGATACCATCTCATGTTCCAGGCCGAAGCTATGGGAATCCTCAGTGGAAGGCCTCATCCGGAGGCTCAGAGTTCGAGTTCTCAAGCAGACAAGTGTCAAGCAAAGATTTCAGTTCATCATCATGTGTTCATCCTGCAAGGGTGACAAGGTGCATGTTATGAGCGCAGCAACCCCGGGAGATTTCCAGAGAAACGTGTTGGAACATGTCTTTCTGGATTCTGGATGTTGGAGTTCTTGTTTCTATGCGGCTTATTTGAGACCAAGGCAATGTGCCGATTGCCTGGCAATGGTTCCAGCCCAGATTCGTGCGGCAGACGGGTTTGCAGATTTTGGCACTTGGAAAGGCTGAATAGGACCATGTCAGGTACTGGTCGATGCTGCTTGATGGAACCGATGGCACGCTTGGAATTCCGAGTGCGAGGCTGGAAGGAATGCACGATTTCAGACCCACACACGATTTACGCTTGGCTGATTCAGAGACCGTACACGTGCCGTGGAGGTGGGACACAGACATTTACTGCTCCAAGGACGGTTGGTGTACAGTGTTGGTATGACAGACGGACATGATCAGAGCCTGACTGCGGTGCCAATGGCCAGGATGGAGAATTCCTGCCTGGCAAAGTGTATACATACCATGGTGGGTTTGTTGATGCTGCCTTAGCCCAGCTTTGGGAGTTTTTGGCCTCTCGTGCAACTTCTTTGCTCGGCAGAGGCGGCATATGGCATTTGTCAATCTTATAATACCACTGTATCATCTTGCACCTCATCAAGGCCAATGAAGCCATTTATGGCTTTGACAACTCGTTCTTTGACATCCCCTCTGAAGAAGCCATGCAGGGAGCTTGGACAGATTGCAAGCTCGGATGTTTATGATTCTGGCTGCATTCCTATCCGCACCAACCAGCTTCATTCTGAAATCGCCAGGTTCATGTCCCCCAGCCAAAGGGTGGTGATGGAAGATGGCTACACGGTCCTATTCAGGGCTGGACATACCAAGGCAGTTGCTTCTGGAGGGGGGGTGTTTGCCAACTCTTGATGACAATGCTTCAGTGAGGATAGCCTTCGTGGGAGAAATGTTGGCGTTTTCTTGGGCGACACTGGCTCGGCGAGCTGCTCAAAACGAGGCTTGAGGTACCTACCAGAGGTGCTTTGATTTATCTCTAAGGACTGGTTCCCCTTCAACCTAACCGAGTACGTGATAACCCGTGGGCAGGCAGTGTACTCGACGAGTAGCCTCAGTGTTTTCAAAAGCTACGTGAGCAGGAGACACGAAAGGTGACTGGCGCCGAACTTAAGATGGAAGTGCTCAGGCTAGTGACAAGACCCTCGCTTGAAATTGAGGTCCTCATACAGCAGCTTACACTGGAGCAAACACTTCGGCAGACCGGCCGCAGAAGCAAACTTTACACAAGAAAGCCCGTTGTATGACTGCAGCAGGTACTGTAACTAGAGCAGAGAGTTCCAACATGCGCAGGTTGTGCCATGCCGTCTGTCTCATGCTCTCGATTTGATCGGCACTTCCCTCAGTCTTGAACACCCTTGCCTGGCATGGTTCTTGCCAGTTTTTTCCTCCAGGCCCAGCTAACACAGCAGACACGGCTTGCTCGTCCTCCTTGGTTGCAACAGGGGTGTGGCTCTTGACTCACGGACTTCCTTGCACGACAATGATGTTTTGTCCAGTGATGCCAGCTGGGGTGGGGCGACTTGCATTTTGCATGTGATTTGGCATGTTTCTGTCTTTTCGCAGGTTGCCATGCAATGGATGCGCCCACGATATTTGGCCGAACATCTTGAGCATCTCAATGCTGGAAGGCAGGAATTGGAGAGATGCCTGTTGATCTGGAGCAATATTCGCTACCAGGAACAAAGGGCACCGCTACTAGAAGCAAGGACGCTACTAGGGGCTCCTGGCATCGCTACTAGGAGCCCCAACCTTTGATTCTGCTGCGTCGCCGCGATGTTCAGCTCTAACGAATGCAGCGTCCATGCACGCCAGACTTTGTCCACAGTGCCTTTGTTTACTGACTGTTGCTAACCCATAGCCGATTTCACATTCCAAAGATTTGTAACCCCTCCGAGACGATACACTCTTCACCACCATTCTCCACCCAAGTCCATGTTACCAGATAGGATTGATCATGACTGGATGGTCTTCTCTTGTGCTGGATGGCCAAATCTGAGCTGGAAGAGCTTCATGCACTAATTTGCGAACACCTCCGCTGTGCAGCTCTCCCTGAGGACTTGCTGAAGGCTGTCGAGCGGAGCCTAGACCAAAGCAAAGAGAGGAAGCTGTCGAGTCAACTTTTGCAGCTGTTCGCGGCCAAGCAGACGAAGCAGACGAAGCCGGAAAGCAACTTGGCCAAAAAGCAACCGCTTCGGCTTTGGCTTCCGAAGACTGAAGGCACGGCCAGCTCGTCTGGCGCTTGGATGCTGGCGGCGTTGGGCGTATTTGTGCTAAGTATGGTTTTTGCACCCTGTGTGACGTACAGCGAGTGGTACATCGATGAGCTTTTTGCAGCAGTACGCAACGCGGATGCCAGGGGTGACACACCTTTGCGAGAGCTTCTGCGGCATGACTTTTGGGGGAACTCCCTCGCCAGCGGTTGGACTCACAAGTCCTACCGCCCACTGGTGGTTTTGTCCTACGTAGGGCAATATTGGATGAACTCGTGGAACTTCAGGCCACAGCCGTTGCGCACATTTAATGTAGCCTTGCATTCAGCAAATAGCTTGCTGCTGCTTCTTTTGATGCGCCAGCGGAAGATGTCAACCCGCTTTTCTTTCTTAGCCGCTGGGTGCTTTGCTGTTCACCCGGTCCATGCTGAGAATGCTATCTACTTGGTCGGAAGGGCAGATTCGATGGCCACATTCTGCTGGCTTTTGGCCTGCTTGGTCTGGATGCCAGGAAGCTCGAAGCCGGCCTTTGGCAGACTTGCCCGAACCTGCCTGGTTGCTGTACTTGCTGTACTGGGCGGCTTTTGCAAAGAAAGCGGTTTTTGTGTGTTGCTGCAGTTGGCTTCAGTTGAGTTGTTGGGTAAGCATCCATTCAGATCTTTACCTTTCATGTTGATCTTTGTCACGGCTTTTGCTGGCAGAAGCTGGATCACCCAGGGCACCAGCGCAGGGTTTTCCTTTGTCGACACCCCAGTGCAATACCGCTCGGACCCATGGCTGAGGCTGGCCACGTACATGTATTTTCATGCCAAGTATGCACAGCTCATGGTGTGGCCCTGGACGCTTTCGTGGGACTATTCATACAATGCTCTGCCGGACTTGTCAACTACTTGGCAAGACCTAAGGGTTTTGGCCATCCTGGTGGCATACTTGAGTGTTTGTGCCTTGGCTTCATGGGCTTTTTCCAAACGAGCACGAGCTGTTCTGATCGGCCTTTGCAATGTTATCATTCCCTTTGTGCCGGCTTCCAACTTGTTTTTCTTGGTCGGAGTCACAGTTGGCGAGCGACTACTGTACCCATGCAATGTTGGAGCTGCTCTTGTCCTCGCAGCTCTTGGAACAATGTCGGACACAAAAACGCACGCCTCTGCGGCCCAAGGGGCCAACAGGCTTCCCAAGGGGTCCACCGGCTGCAAGTTTCTCACGGCTCCCGTGGTGGTGTGCATCCTTGCAGTCTTCACATGGCTAGGTGCTGTGCGCACACAACAGTGGTCTTCACGAGAGCTTCTTTTTGGCACCGATGCGGAGAGTTATCCACAATCCACCAAGACGCGCCACCAGTTTGGGAATCTTTGTGCAGCGACTGGAAGGGCTTTGTTTTAAAACCAGCACGGTTGAATAGCCTTCTTTCGAATCATCCTATACATGATATGGGCTTTGGGGTTCTTTTCTTCTCTACTGGTTTGGGTTGGTGGTTTGGCTCTGGGCTTGGTAGGGCCGGGTGACTGATAAGGACGGTCCTGCACAAGATGGAGCGTTACTCGGAAGCCTTGCACCACTTTGAAGCTGCGGAGGCGATCTTTGAACCTTGGATGTAGCAGATCAGCGAGTGTGCGGATTGGTGTGGCCGGGCACTTTGTGACACGATGGTGGAGTGACCTTGATGATCTAGAATTGACAGGGAGCACTGACACGAAGGCTCACAAAAGTAATACAGTAATTAGGATGACAAGTGTTTGAGACGTGGGGGTATGAGTCTCAACAACCTTTTGTGTAATGAGCAGTGCTACATGCACATGCCAACAGCCACATGCCCACAGATGCATCATCAACGTCGTCGTCATTGTCATCATCACCCTTGTCACCATCATGAGCACACGCCTGTTCGCACATTTGATTGTTTGGAAGTTTGAACCGTGAAGGCTCACGGGCCCGCAAAGACGTACTGCAACCAGCGGGTGCAACTATTCGGCAAATGTGCCACAGGCTACGAAACTAAGGCGGTTTAGCGACAGCCAAGGAAGTGAACCTCGAATAGGCGATTGGATAGGTGTGTGTTTGGGGATCTCAAGAGGCATCACAATACTATTGCTCTGGTGGGCCTGTGTGCAGTACTGCCCGGTGCCAAGTATGTGCCTTTTTCACATTGTTTCGGAAAGGCACCAGCTTTGCCGTGGAGCCAGGATGGTACGGGGCTGACTCAGTATTGCATTGGTCAGATTTTGCTTGAAACTGGGCGTGCTGACGAAGCTGAAGCCAAATTTTCGAAGATCCTGTCAGGGTGCCGGAGCTGAATCCTGATTGTGTAGTAGTTGATGACACCATGTTGCACCATGGGTCATCCATCAAAAGTCAAGAAGGAAACTGCTACTGCTACAATTGTGTTTTGGCGGACTGTGTGCTTAGGAGGACTCAGTTGGGCCAAAATGTAATGCCTCAGCAGATCTGAGGCATGCTTTAGGCTTTGGCTCTCACAACCTCTGGTCACTCTATATTGACTATGGACACTTGGATTCAACTGCATTTCTTGCGCCTGCTTTCCAAGTGTGTTCAATTTCCAGAAGGTCCCTGCGCTTCTTGTTTCAGGATTCTCCCTGGTTCTTCTTCAGCGCTTCGAGGATGCCATACAACCTATCAAGGAAGGCTTGAAGCGAAACGAGGATGTTCCCTATGGCCTCAATGCTTTAGGTTGCTTGTCGAGGGTCTTTGCTCAATCACGCCGTTCCGATGCTGGGTAAGTTGCTCAAGCCGGTTCTTGCCCAGGCTACGCCTACATGAATCTCGGTATGAAGGAGGAAGGGAGGGCAGCCTTCCAACTTGCAATGAAATATGACCCGCAGAATGCCCCTTGTCAGACTTGGTGTCAGGCCAAAAGCCTGCTTGATTCCGCGTGACGCTCACTGTTTTGGTGACAGCATGTTTCCTGCTATGACCCATGCACACAATAGTCACTAAGAATCAAAGCCCACAACCTTGGATGCTGTGTGGGATGGCAGGGTGCAAGAGTGTTTCAGCGTATTTCCATTGTTTGGTGTGGTGTGGATTGCCAGCACGTTGAGCGGTAGGTTGTGGTTCTGGCCGCCTTGTTCCGGCCAGGCATACCTCGAGAACAATATCGGCGTTGCCAAACTACTCTCAGGTGAGCTTAATGAGGGTGCCCTGCATGTTGCGAAAGCCGCTACGTTGGAACCAGGTGTCCCAGCGTTTGCCCACAATGTCCACCTTCTCAGGGAAATGGCAGATTCTTGGTCTATCCGGAGGTTTTATTTGATGCCTAGCCTGGTGCTCTCAAGCAACATTTAGTCACGATCTCTCGTTCGCTTAAGCTCTGACTTGTAGAACGGATCTGAGGAAACTGGCCGGTGGCCGGAGTCAAAGTTGGTACTGGAGCTGTACTACAATCGGGGTATGTGATGTTGCACCATTGCTGAGCACGACTCGTGCATACTCATGGACTTTTGGATGACCTTTGCCAGCAGCCAGCCATCCATGACCTCAAGAAGACCAAGCTACGTCAAGAACAGAGAAGGTAGATGGAGCCATCGAACGCGCCCAGGGTAAAAGGGGAATTAGATGGAATTTGATGTTTGATGGCCCTGTCCACTGGCCCAACTTCTTCATTCAAGAAGTCTTCCTACCTTTCCAGGCTATACGAGTCCGTGGCAGGTGGCATTTGCTGCCAAATAGGCTCGCAATCCCTTTGGTTTGTATAGCTCCTTGTTTTTTTTCCACCATCCGTCGGGATCTCATTATATATATAGCTTGCCTGTTTGCCAGGCCCCGGCTCCTACATTGCCATGCCAGGGGCCACAGGCTCTTTGAAAAACAGGTTCTCCCAGTTGAAAAAGGCACACGTCCCAAAGTCGAATCCTTTTAGCCGAAGCCAGATGAGCGAGGAACATTTCCATGGAACTTCACTGAGGTGTGGCCTTCATATGCTTTCAACGAAGGGGCGCTGTTTCACTTTTGATGAGAGTGCCCGCCCCGGTGGTTTGTCGCCAACATTTTCAGAGAGAGGAAGAGGGAGAGCGTGCTTTGCTGCAGGTGGAGATGGATATGCTCGTGGCGAAGGTTGTGGACTGATCTTCCTGAAAGTCATTGGCTTAGGCCAAGGTTCACATTGTTGAAAGCAGCGGCCACCTCCACCCGGCAAACTTACGAGTTTGATTTGATGGAGTCATGGCATTTGGCTCAGCCGACTTTGAGGGGGGAAACTTTAGACTCTAGACTCTAGACGATCAGCTGCAGCGCAAGAGCATGACATATGGCAGCATAAGATAGAAAGAACTCCCGTTGTAGCCAACTGATGGGCTTCAACTCGCGCTCCTGTGATGCATCTGACTTCCTTGCTGCATTTCTTCGGAGCTTTGGGTGCAAGTTTCAGCACTTTGATCCTGTTTGTGAAACATGGGCATTGTGAATGCTTGCAAATTTTTGCACATGTGAACATCGCATGGCTAAAAGGAATACATCCGGCCACGTGCTTCCTGCTTGGCTGCGATATTTCGATCCAGAAGATGGTGACGGACAAGTTTCATTGGAAGAATTCATCGCAGCCATGCGGAGGTGCAGCCACATGAGTTTCATAACATAAATGCCGTTAAATGCCCTTAAGCGCCACAGCAATCCAGACACTGCAGGTTGAGCTTCAAAGGCGATGCAGAAGCCCTTTTTATGAGAATTGACGTTCCCTGGCATAGTCATGCATATGGGTTGTCGACATTGTGAATGGCCACAGAGCACAATGCATGGCTGAGGCTGATGGCTCTGGCTTCTTGACGCTCTACGAGGCGTCAGATTGGCGATGCAACATGGGACATTTGCCTTGCCATTGTGTGCCATTGCATGCCGTTCGTGCAGTTGCGTGTGTTGCACCTTCAGCGCTTCACATGTTCAACCCTTCACCGCGAAGGTCGACCCGAAGTGTGCCGACTTGTGGGCCGCCTTCCGAGCTTGGTGTGCCGAAACCTTTCAGACCACTGATGAGATGGTCAGCGCCTGAGAAACCATGGGGTCATCCGATGAGGGTTGTGCCGGGTGGAAGGGGTCGAGTGAGCAATGTCAGGTGTCGCAGTTGCGCGGAAGCTTGGTGGAGTTGGGACCTCCGGAAGGAGAGAGGAAGCCTCCCAGAAAGCAAAAGAGTGCGGTGCCGCCAGTGGAAGCTTGCCTCATGTCAGTATATAGTATATAGTTTTAGCAGGTCTTTTCCCGGGTTCTTCGAAGGAGAGGGTGGGAAGGCTAGGACGTGGGGAGTCTTGAGAGTTGATGCTCGCCGATGCTGTTTGCTTTTAAGGAGTTCACCTTTATCCGGGAGCAATTTATGGAGAATGCTCCAAGGCATGGCTGGCTGCTTGGTGACATGCAAAATGTCTTTGAACAATTGCATTCCTGCGATCTTGTCAACTTATGCTGCCAAGGTTTGGTGGCTTCGAAGATACCATCTTTTCTTGTCTGGATCGAAAGCAATCCGGGTTTCTGGGCCCAAATGACCAGCGCGATGACTCGCAATGACTGTTTATTTCTTTTTTGCGGAACATTTTTTCCAGCTTACTCTGTGTTCTCGCGTCACCATATCCATCTCAGCCACTAGGTATGTGACAAACAATGACCTCATGTGGTTTGAGAAGGCGGGTGAGACGTTGTTGCCATGTGGCTGCTGCGACTGCATCTTGACCTTTCCCGTCCTCCGTGAGGCCAGATCACAACACAACAGGAGGATGCAGCTCAGACCCACTGGCAGTCGGGCCGTCATGAACACAACAGGGCCAGCAGTGAAAAAGAACCCCATGCAAGCCTTGTTGGCTTTCATGAGCTTTTTGAGAAGCAGCAGCTTGGGAGGAAACCTTATGCAGACCTGGCGCACATTGCTAGATCCGGATGGGTGCCTCTCTGTCCAGCGGTCTGACATTGAAAGGGCAGCTACACAAGTGGGATGGCGTGGGGACGTGTCATCTCTTTGGAGCGCACTAGATGCACCAGGTGGTCGCGCTGCTTTAGAGGAGTTTGGCTTCAAAGAGGCTCGCGCATTGGCGCTGTTTCATGCCTGGGCAGCGGCATTGGGTGGAGTAAAAGAGGCCTGGTCAAGACTCTTGGGAGTTGAGAGGGGGTACCAGAGAAAGCGACGAGCGTCCGCCATGGTGGTGCAGCCACTAGCACCGCAAGCCGCTTCTGCTTCACTGGATCGACCAGCCTTTGTCTTTGCCTTGACACGTGTGCATGCGAAGCATGTGCAGCCAGTGGATGAGACGAGCTTTAGCAATTATTTGTTTTCAATCCTGGACTGGGAACCCCATGGAAAGCTCTCTTACAAGGACGTGCGTTTTTTGGAATCGTGGGAGCCTGTGAAATGGTTGTCCGAGAAGGCAGGTCTCAACGAAGCTGAGTCGTTCAAGGAAACCGTCCTGTCCAAGTATGGGAACCACCCAGTGAAGGCATGGAGATTGTGTTTGGATCTGGATGCCACTGGAATTTGTAGGTGGACTGCCTTCAACCAAGCAGCTGAACGAATTCAGTGGAAGGGTGATTGTGCCAAAGCCTGGCTGGGTTTGGACAAGCAGAGCTTAGGCTTCATCACTCTTCACAACATAGATGCCGAAGTGGCGGAAAATTTGGCTCTCTTTCGAAGATGGTGCTTTGCCACCTACGGTGGAGTTGCCATTGCTTTTCATGCCTTGGACTCTGACGGCTCGGGCTCGTTCAGCGAAGAGGAGTTTGTCTCGGTGATCGAACACTCCACCTTCAAAGGGGATGCCCACGCCGCTTGGCGGTCCTTGAACTTGGAGGGTAGTGACATTTTATCGGAACGGGAAATGGACTTTCTGGATGATATGGAGCTGGACATGCTCGCGGCCTATGTTTCGGCCACGGAAGCCGCGGAGGAAAGCGAGAAGCAAAAACACCACGTGGAAGTGGATCTTCATCGTCGAAACTCGGTGGTGGGTGCAGATTTGCGAAACCAAACCTCCATGCTCACGCTGGAGCAGCAAGGTGATGACAAAGCACAGCTGCTTCTGACGACACCCGAGTCCCGCGTGGAACTGTTGGACATGGTCGGATTGGAGAATTCGCTTTCGGAGAGCCAAAGTCTCTCTTCCTTTGTGCTTCCCCGACTTGACCTGAAGTCCACAGATCCCATGTCTATATCTCTTGGTGCTGCATCCGCTGGCACTGCTGGCCGCAAGCATGCTTCCATTGACTCGTCCAGTAGATCCACCATGTGGGTTGAGTCCAGCAAGAAGTTGTATGCCGGGGGGATCCCATATATGTGACAAGCAGGCCTTGAAATCTGAGGCAGTGCAACTGTACATAGTGTTTCCTTACGAAATGTCCCGTGAACTCTGCGGGATGGGTGGAGTTTTCTTTGGCTGGTCCTCAACACTGAAATCGCAAGGAAAAAGCATTTATGAACAAGGAGGCTGAGGATGTTTGTCACGTTTTCATATGAAGTTTTGTCAGTATTCCATCTCCAGAGTGCCACTGAGCTTTGGATACCTAGGCCAGTGCTTCCGAAGTTGACATGTACGACCAACTCTCCTGTGTGTTGGGCTGCTGTATCAACCAGGATGCACATTTTTTTTACATTCTGATGCTTTGTCTCAAAACATGAAGACTTGAGAGGACACCAGGGGGAAAGACAAACCTAGACGACCTCTTGCGTTTTCGGGCTGCCCCCTCGTTCAGGGACCCCCCATATTAGCAAGTTGCAAGGCGTATTGTCTCAGAGGGCACTCCTTACGGCCGTGATGCAGGACGGAAGGAGTGCTAGCATGACCGCGCCAAACGGTCCGTCTCAGCAAGCCTGCATCCTCCAATCTATGAGAGAGGCAGGACCAAGATGGACACAGCAGTGCTAGGCTCTTCACCTATTTCTTGGCTCCGTAACGCGTACGCAATGCAGCATGACCGTGTAAGGCGTAGGAGGTTGACTGACTGGTTAGGTGCATGAAGGGGCACGCACGTCAGACGAGCTCTGTCGATTTGCATTCAGGCTGGAAACAAGGCCAGGGATATCAACCTCGCGGAATGCCACGGCACAGGCAGAGCGGCACAATGATGTTTTTCTGCTCTTTAGATCTTGGTGGAGAGCCGCGCAGAGGTACCGCACTGGGCGATCCAATTGAAGTTGGTGCATTAAAGAATGCGTTGGGCTGAGTGCACGGCTTGCCGAGTTACCGGCCGCATGTGTCCATTTTGTCAAGGTCATGGAGCCGCGCGACACCACTTTGGCACTGACAAGCTCCAAGTCAAATATTGGGCACTTGGAAGGCAGTGTGCGGCCCTGAGCTCACCAGTTTCTGGTTTCTCATCCAGCGAAAGAATTCTTGTAAGCCCACATTGTGGCTCACACTGCTTTTTCCCGAGCCACTGTTCTGACAGTGTCAAGTTTAGTTATAAGGCCGGCATTGCGGGCTTCCTGAAATGTGCCAGTGCCTCAGGTGCTCACTGTTGCCGCCTAGGTAGAGACTAGGTACAGCGATCATGAAACCAACCTGAAGCGAACCTGCTTTTGCTCAAGCTCTAACGACTGGCTTCCAATAGCTCGATGGCATTTGCTGCTCCCAGGTATCAATGTTGATGGCAGGGACATGCCCCCCAAATGCCCACTGCTACCAGCGAGCGCCTCAATATACACCTCACATGCATCAACAGCAGTTGTCACAATACTTCACGAGGACTGTACTGAAGGATATATAACATATGATTCATATAATATTATTTATGCTTCTCTTGGACAAGCCTCAGTAAATCAAGCACAATTTTGTTGGACGTGTTGTTGTACTATGGTGTTGGGTAATGCCTTGCTTGTCCTCTCACAGTCTTGCATATCGTGAAAGCCACCAAGCAAAAAGGGTCATTCAAAGCGTTTGCTCAGGCTCAACCCGCATTTGCAGGTGAAAGGCTTTCCCTGTTTCTTCGATACCGAGGCAAGATGCTAGTGCTTGCTGGAGAGGGTACAGTAGTCATAAAAGCCCTTAGAAATGATGACAGCAGGTATGTGGATGCGGATGGTCCAGGATTCCACTTGTGCTGACATGGTCCCGGAACTCCGTTTCTGGCAGCTGGCAGCGTTTCTTTCTCAAGCCTTTCAGAAGCCATGTCCGAGAACAAGGCTGAAGAGAAGTTGAAGGTGAAGCCGGCAAAGCCCACGGCAGAGAGACTTGGCACATGGCCTCGTCTCCGCGGAAGGGCCTGTCTGGAGGTTCCATGCATTTTTTGTTTTGTACTTAACTTGAGTTACAATCTTGTCTAGTCACTAGTCCAGGTCTTGTTTGCCAAGGAGCTTGCGTTTCCTCAAAAACTCAAACATGGGCGGCAGTCGATGTTGACAAGTAACTGTATGCCTTCAAACATCTCGCATAGACCTTTGACTGAGGAAAGATGCTGAAGGAGAATCCGCCAAGTTTCCCTGGTATCCTCCCACCATCGATCCTCGCAACATGACACTGCGTGATATGGCCGTCAACCAGACTACTGAGGATGGCTCCTTGACCTTCAGGCATTTCAGACACTGAGCCAACCAGGGAACATATAGTCATAGTGTCTCACGAGTTGTATATATTATATACATATCCTGGAGTAGATAGAATGTCCCCATTTTCAAAAATAGGTCAAGGCCAAAACATTGATAGAATATGGATATTATATAGTATTAGTGCATTGTTATTTTCCAAAAATGTGACCTCAATCTCTGATTCAGATAAGAATGACAGATTTATATAGTCACATATTCTATCAATATTCTATCATCTATGGGTGTCACCAACCGCCCAGCGGGCTCGCCTTTCACTGCACGAGGTCCTTAAGAAGTGGTCGCCGGCAAGAAAAGCAAGAAGATAGAGCGGACAAGGAAGAGAAAAACAAGAAGACGAGTAGGAAAAGGGCACGCAAAGAAAGAGGAAAAGGAGCAGGAAGAGAAGGAGAAGGAACTGGAGATGGAAAAGGGAAGATGGAAGAGAAAATGGAAGAAGAGCAAATAGGACACCAATTAAATTGATAACATCCTGGAGTAGGTATATGTGTGGGCCCAATATTCTATCTATGGGTCATTCTTTACATATTCAATTTTCGTGTCCAAAAACCATCTACTCCAAATGATTATATAAATACATATTTTGGCCATGAGTTGATGAGCTTAGCCAACACTTCCAGTTGCCAAGCGGGTAAGCTGTTAGCAAGCAGGCTGCTCTTGAGGTCCAACACTTCAAGATATTGAACTTGAAGAAACAGATCAACCACGGGCTGAGACCAAGTTGAGTGAGGCATGACCTGTCACTCTTACAAGTCAGCTGTTTGTTCAATTGCAAGTTTTCATTTTTGGCTTGCTTTCAGTGGTGCCATCGCGAGGTAGAAGTGAATAGTGTAAGCTCTGAAGAAGTTTGCTGCTTGGAACGCACTGGACTTGTTTCCGCTAGGCCCTAGTAGCGTCCTTGCTCCTAGTAATACGGCCAGGAGCCCCTAGTAGCGTCCTTGCTCCTAGTAGCGGTGCCAGGAGTCCCTAGTAGCGTCCTTGCTCCTAGTAGTACAACAGTCCCTTTTGTTCATAGAATTGCCATTGCACTGTATTCTTTGGAGAGCCTCGAGTGCAAGAGGTCGCCGCACAACTTGTCACACAAGGCGCATGTTGGTGGGAGAGTGGCAGGAGGCCGAAGCGCAAGATGAGCCGCGCAGTAACCGGCTTAGCTGTTGGAGCCATCGTTTTTTGAGGAGCTTGGCTCTGTTGGCTCAGCAAAGCTGTGGCAGTGGCCCGTGCTGTTGGCCTGCCTATGCTGCCCAAATCAACCTTTCGAATCCTTTGAACTGGCGCTAGGCGGACGCAGGTGTATGCCAGCATCGCACAGAGGGTTGCCAAGAGGAGACCCCCAGCTGTTGAAGCCACATGCACAGATTTTGCGTAGATACATTAGATAGTTGGATTTGGATGCGTGTTCACATGTCTCTCTGCTCATGCAAATGTGAACTCACATGCTGAGATGTTGAGGGCACTTGGTGTATGTGTGCTCATATGTAACAGACGAGTGCATATATACACATATCTATTGAGCAACGTCAAGTTCGCGAATAGACAGTGGAGCATGCACACATGTGGGGTACCAGTTGGCCAACCCTGAGCAGACAGCATGAGTGTCCTTGACCATGTCTCCGGGTACAGCTGGAACATGGTCGCGACAGAAGGGGACCATCCATGTCTGTCACAGAACTCCAAAGGAGCTTCTGTTGTTGAGCCTATCGCGTTCGATAGTTTGTTGACCGTCACAGGGACACCAGAGCGTCACAGGGACACAAGAGTTCTTGCACCATGACATTTGGGTTTTAGTCTTTGTGTGTTGCTAGAGCCATGTTGTGCTGTGAAGGTTAGCAGCTAAGCTCAGACTTGCATGCAAACAAATTGACAACTTGCTGATGTGGATGTGCTTGATGAAAAAGAGGCACATACAGTTTCAGCTACAGAAAAGAATAAGAAGCAGTGCAGATTGACGAGGGCAGTCCAGTTTTGCTGGGGGCAACCTGACAGGCAGTTGACAGTGGTCTCAACAGTGCACTTACCGGCCCCGACCTTGTATTGTTGACTGGGAGGCTATACAACACGATAGACACAGAAATTCTTGCTTTGCGGATTCAGGTGTGTCCTCCTTTGGGTTTGGAGGAACAAACGGACGATGCGACATTTGGGGGGCGGCAAGGTTGGGACCCTGTTCATGTGATTTCTGGATTGCTCAGTCTTCAGATCGGCAGGTTTGGCCCAAACAAGTGCGGGAAAGTGCTGGAGGCAGAAGTGGATCAGATCTACACTTTGTGTATGACACTGAGAGACAGTCACGAAAGCTGTCTTCAGCTAGCTGGAGTCTCTCTTTACGTAGCAAGTTATTGGCTGGGGCAGAGGAGGGCCATTTGATTTAGTCTTTGTTTGTTTCTTTTTAGTATTTTTGTTTTTCGTGGCTCCTGGCTTCTGTGGCTTTTGGCTTTCGTGGCTTCTGGCTTCTGGCTTCTGTGGCTTTTGGCTTTCGTGGCTTTCGCGGTTTCTGGATTCTGTGCGGCTTTTGGCTTTCGTGGCTTTGGCGGCTTTCGTGGCTTTCGTGGCTTTCGTGGCTTTCTAGCCATGCGAAGGAAAGAAGGAGGGAAGGAAGGAAGGCAGGAAGGAAGCAAGGACGAGGGCGTCTGAGGTGTGTGGCTTGTGGCTTTTGAGGGTCAAATTTAGATCAGGAAGGTGCAAAAACCGTTTGTAAGCCACCCGGAGGTAGAATTCACTGTAGAATAGGAAAGTGCCAGTCCAACGGTGCAGACCTTTTTCATCCAGGCGGTTGCTTTCAGTGCCGGGTTGCTGACTATACCCCACTGCTTTCTTAATTTACACGATTGCTACGGGACAACTAAATACCAAAACCGCCAAAACCACTATCTTTTGTTCATTGACAACGCCACAAAGGTAGCTGTGACAACGCTACAATGAGGTTTTCAAGGCTTTAGCTGTTTATCTTTGGTGTTAACATGAACATGTCTGATGACATGACCTGCAAAAACCCACAAAGGTGGAGGCTGAGGGCCACTCAACCACGCCCAGCTTTCAACATAGCTTCTTTCCGCACTGTTCTATCCAATTGTCCTATCTATCTACTGTATCTATCTATCTATCTACCTATCTATGTAATTTATCTTATCTATCTGATCTTTCTTATCTGCCTAAATCTATCTAATCTATTCTAATCTGTTCTAATCTGTTCTAATCTATTCTAATCTATTCTAACCTATTCTAAACTAATCTAATCTAATCTGTTCTAGTCTATTCTAGTCTATTCTAGTCTATTCTAGTCTATTATATTCTATTCTATTCTATCTATCTATTTCTCTCTCTCTCTCTCTCTTTCACGATCTTTTTTTTTCTCTCTCTCTCTCTCTCTATCTATCTATCTATCTCTCTCTATCTGCGCTTCCAAGTTCACAAAGTGCTGGACCTGCCACGAAATTTGCACATCAAGGTCCACAAAGTATTGCGCCTACCACGAAATCTGCACTTCAAGGCCACAAAGTACTGCACGTGCCACGAAATTTGCACTTCAACGTCCACAAAGTACTGCGCCTGCCACAAAATATTCACCAAGAAATCCTAAATTATATCCAAGCCCCATGGAATCGCCTACCCAGTGATTTATCCACTGCTAGACTCCCCGCAGGTTCAACTCCCCTCTTGGACGTGTCAGATTTGGGAGCATAATAGTTCTGATAGCATCCGTTCTGGGACCATTATGTTTCACATCATGCTGCGCACCCCCATCCGTTGCAAGGCCATGTATGTGATTAGATGCAGCTAGCTTTCGTCACCAACCCCCGGCCTCAAGTAGAGTGATGTGGCCATTTGATCCTTCCCTTCCATGCAACGTAGTTGACTTGATGGAATGAGAATGATCCTTGTCGCCTGAGCTTGAGCGGAGGGGAATGGAGAGATGAGATGATAATTGTACTGAAACGAGCCAGCAACTAGAAGATAGATGAGCCTCATGTGCATTCGCACTGATTCCAAACAAGGAGCAACGATAGACAACCAACCAGACAGAGTGATAGGCCATACCCGGTACTGGGTCTCGTCACTCGCATGAAACACAGCCACAGGTGAAAAGGTTTTCGCCTCACTGAGGTCCAATCACATTGGGCAAGATCGACTATTTGACTGGAGAACCCCTCTCGCGGCGGCTGGCCGCATCATACAGGCTGTCAAGGATAGATGATCCCGACGGTATGAAAGTGCTCTCTCTACTTTTTCTTTTGCAGTGTCTAGTTTTGATCCTTTTTTCCCAAATGTGGTTGGGCACCCTTTGGAAGAGCCTTTTGCTCTCCAAGCTTTTGGATGCCACGGACCTCATGCTGCAGGGGGAAGAGGAAGGCAGATGTGCTTAGAGACGAGCTCGCTCGGTATGATGTTTCCAGGCGCGACTTTCTCTTACTGTTTTTCGGTTGAATAGTAAGTATCCCTAAAAACCTAGGAACCAAATGATTAGTGCGAGCGCTTCCTTGAAGAAGCGTTAGCGATTATCTGAATTAAGCAAGGGTGGGTGGGCTAAACAAAAACGTAATACTTCCACCTCTTTCTGATAGGTATGCTTATGACGGCGGCTTCCGATATCGCCAGAACGAGATTCCGGACAAAGATGAGGACTTCCCGTGGCGTGCTCGGATTAGTTGGCAATCACTGTAGGCGTCCCTTGGATTTGCACCGCTGAGCTTTTGCTACTCTCGTTCCTAGTAGCTTCTTGTTACTACTAGTAAGGCACTTGCTCCTAGTAGCGTGGCACTTGTTACTACTAGTAAGGCACTTGTTACTAGAAGCGATGCACTTGTTCCTAGTAGCGTCCTTCAGCTGCCGCCAAGGTCGGACAGCAGTATGTTCATTTGCGGTTCGTGGAATGGCTTCACCATGGAGGACATGTGGTCAGAGAGTTTTGACACAGAGTGCCAGATGTTCACACAGCTTGCTTTTTCAGGAAATGGATCGGAATGGTGCCAACACGAATTGCTCTCAGTGTGTTCATTTGTGCCTTTGCAGCTACCTGGTACTGACCTAGCATACGGTTTGAAGCACTAAGGTTTTCAAGCATCATTGTCTTGGGTCCAGAGAGGCAAGCCACTAGAAGGAACTATGTCAAATGTACCTGAGATGTGGGGAGGGTTTCCAGGAATCTGTCAGTTGTTGATGCTCACAAAGGATAGAATTACTTTTTCTCAGCCAATTCTTGAAAGGTATGATCTTTTTGAGCTTTACATTGACAAGAATCAGGAGTGGGGAGCCCAAAAGCATCAAGGCGACTGTGTCAATCCAGTTGCGTGCAGCCTCTAGATCATGTGATCATGGTTGAGGTATTGCTTTTTCCCAGCGGCAGATCGGGCAGGGCAGGTGATTGCAGTGGAGGGCCCTGCTGTCATGCACCAAGTGATGCTGCAATTCTTCGTGCCTCAACCGGTTTGTTCAACGTCCTTCGGCGACCCGAGGAAAACAAGGAGCGAAAGAGGTGGATCATCGATGGTCGAGACAGCGGTATGCCTGCCGGGACGGATGCTCTGGCATGTTATCCTGAAGCATATATGTGATATGTGTATCATACTTCAAGATCACCAAGAAGAACAGCAGGTTGCTGAACCATCCTCGCTGTGGCTGCCAGGTGGTTGAAATCACCTTCAAGTTTGGAAGCAGTCTCAAGATGCGCAGTTTTTACAAACATCACACCGAGACCGGGAAGAAGAGAATTACTCGTCCCAACCCATTGTGGGAGGTGCTTAGTTTGTTTGGCAGGCAGTACCAGCTAGCACCAGCAACAAGGTGCATCGCTACTAGTTACTAGTAGCAAGAAGCTACTAGTAGCTAAGTGCGTTACCACGAGGAACAAGAAGCTACTAGTAGCTCCTGGCATTACTACTAGTATATAGTAAGCAGCCATTAGTAACCAGGGCATTGCTACTAGTACCAGCTAGCACTGTCAATTCGTTTTCATGCCCACAGGCCCAGTTTCAGCTGCGCTTTGTTTCCATCCGGGTGGCTGACTGAGGCGACAGGCCGAGTGTAGCCTGGAAGGAAGTCAGTGAAATGTTCGCTCCACAGCTTTCCTTACCGTGCTTGATGTGAAGATGTCGCAGACGAGCTGCGCTGTTTAATGTATCATGCTGCAAAACTTTGTTCATGGAGCACGCATGCAGTCATTTGGCTCGGGGCTTATGAAAGACTCATGCGACTGACGCAAGCTACTCAGTGCCAAAGCCTTTAACATTTGCAATAGACAATGATGTATAATATATATCTATATATACACTTACTGTATATTTCGCCAATATGTGCCATTCGTGCCAGCCTTGAAAACTCAATCCAAGCCAGCCAATTGACACTCTTCCAGATCCGAACATTAAAGCTCTATCCGTCAAGTTCACCAGTAACTTAGCATACACTTTGCCAATTTGCAGCTGACAAGATCTGATTGTGAAGCTTTCGCTCCCCTAGATCTCTGCCCTTCAGTTTTGCAGCTGCCATGGCAAGTGCCTCTCCTGAGCTGATTCATTGATTCACTGCCCTCCTTAAGTCTCACGCAGCAATCTTGTCATAGCAAAGTCAAAGCTAGGGAGTGCTTTCCCAGATGCCCTCCCGCAGCACTTTGGCTTCAAAGGAAAGAAGAGCCGATCAAGCAGCAGCTCAAGAGGGAAGAAACGCAGCCGCAGCAAAGAGAAGGACAAGTGTCTCCGCGGAGAAGTCCAGAACAATCAGTTGTGCAAACAGACCAATACTGTTGACTCACCAGCTTCAGAGACGGCCTTGAAGCTGTTTCACCTTCTGCAGGAGAAGGTGAAGGAGAAGAAAGAAAAAGGCAAGGACAAGAAGAAGGCAGCTTCTAGAGTTCTTCAGTTCAACAGCAACATAGTGGCTTTTGCTTGCTCTCTCTCTCTCTCCCTCTTGATACTACTGTAGCCAGCTCAACAAGGAGAAAGAGAAGGAGAAAAAGGACAACAAGGACCGAGGGAAAGAAAAGGACTCGGAGAAGGAAGAAGAGAAGAAGAAAAGCAAAGATAAAGAAAAACACAAGGACAAAGAGAAAGACAAAGATAAGGACAGAGAGAAGGATAAGGAGAAGGAGAAAGACAAGGATAAAGAGAAAGACAAGGAGAAAAGCAAAGCAAAAGATAAAGACAAAAAAGAAAAGGACAAAGAGAAAGACAAGGATAGAGAAAGAGAAAAAGACAAGGAGAAGGGCCATGCGAAGGAGAAGGATCGAGAACGACATGCAAAGGAGAAGGAGAGAGAAAGAGATCGAGATGCTTGGTTTGATTTATGTTTGGTTTTGTTGCCTTGGTTGACTCTTCAAATTTGCAGTGCCACTTCTGTTTGCTGTTGAACTGGTAAAGCTGTAGCCATATGCGGACGTGTGTTGTGAGGATCGCTCCCGGTCTCGGGACCGGAGAAAGAGCAGTTCCTCAGAGTCGAGCGCCTTGAACGAAGATCAACGCATTGCCAGCATTAGCGGGGATCTTGTACTTACGTGATTGTGTGTGTGTGCGTGCATGTTTGTGTTCAATGCCCGCCATAATCCTTTCCATGGATTTAGTCCAGATCCATCAGAGGAATGTTTGTTTGTTATGGCTGCACCCTGGGTGCCCTCAATCCAACTTAGGCATTTCGGATGCAATTTGTGTTTCTGGTTTCCTTTCGACATGTGCCACTACACAGGGGATCGGCCCACTAACTTGCTTTTGGTGCCACTTTTTCCTGGCCAGAGTCTACGGAGAAGGTCCCCACCAAAGCTAACTCCAAGACTGCGCGAGGGGGTTAACTTTCGAGTTCCTGACTCTTGACCCCCACTTGGAGATGGGGCACCTGCAGACCTACAATATAATATATATATATAATATATATATATATCCCATCCCATGCTCACAACAAGTATAATCTAAAAAGATTATGCCCAATGCCCAGTGTTTCCTTGTCAAGTTTTGTACCTGTGTGTCCGCACGTAAAGGAAGCAGCTCCAGAGAGACCATAAGAGCGGAAGAAAGAGGGCGAAGGAACAAGCTAGCGAGAGGGACCTAGTAGCTTCTTGCTCCTAGTAGTAAGGCCACGAGCCCTTAGTAGCGCCCTTTGCTCCTAGTAGCGATGCCCTTTGTTCCTAGTAGCTATTTGTTCCTACTTTGAGAAGTGGTAGGATTGATTGCTGAGGTAGTTCAGGCAGCGAGGACATGGGTCGACGCGTATGGCCAATTGCTGTTGGCCTTGCGACGAGCAGCTTTCAGCTTCTGCCTCCAATGTCACTTTGCTGAAAATGATATAGTAGCGCGTCAGCCACTTATTTCCAGGCCGGCGTCAGCGTTCGATATCGATACCCGTCTTCTTGAGATGGTTGCGGCTGTTTCTTGAGAATGCCCAGATGAGGTTGGAGCTTGTCGATGTGACCACGGATCCACCGCCGGAACTTCAACTGCCTACACCAGCGCCTGTAACACTGGCAGTGCCTGCTCCTGCACCGCCTGCAGGATTTACGCAGCTTGCCTGCAAGAATAGTAGGAGTCCAACAAAGACACGCCCAACCCGGAGCTTTGTACTTGTCCGCCTGAGGCAAGGGTCAGGGTTCTCCTAGTCTATAACTATGTATAGATATATGATGGTGGTTGTGGGTGTTACTGTTGCGCAGCTGTGAAGGCCGGATCTCATCTCTAGTCAATCTGACTGAACGTTTTCGCCTTCAATGTCAGGTCTGGCTTCGCTGATAAGCTGAGGTGCCTGCAGACATTGTAAATCATTATGTTCATGAAGCCCTGCGAACATTGACAGCAATTTACATAATTGGTTAGGAGTCATATTCATGACAAGACCAGACTCAACTGACCGGCGGTGGTTTCGTTGGTTGTGCAGGCCAGGCTTGGGCATAACCCCTACAGCCAGCACCTTGGCGAGACACGCGCCTCTGACGGGTCAAGCCTTGGCGCAGCAGCAGGGGAAGCAGCAGGCCAGGTTTGGGCCGGAGCCGAGTCCTAGCGGGAGCAGGATGTATAAGCACTCGGTTCACTGTCAGTACTTGCGCCGTTCTCCGTAAGATGGTGCTAATTTTCCACTGGCACCAGAGCCCAAATTTGCCTGTGCTACAAACATTCTGACCAGGTTTGCTTCAACTATACTGGCGGCAAGTGCTTCAGAGCAGACTGTCGCTTTCTTCATTTGGGCCCCGGTCCGAGGCGACTGCGCCGTGTTTTCAGTTCAGAAGTTCAGACCACAGAAGCGCTGATCGCTTGCAATAGGACCTTGATCCTTGTCCAGGTAGCTGCTGAGATTTCGGATTTGCAGTCTCTCAGCAGCAATTGTAGATCAGATCTTGGAAGAGAAGCCTGAGCCGTGTGATTCTGCAGGTAATGCGTGTTCATGACCGCTTTGTCCTGCTGATCCATCAGTCAGTTGTTTTCACTGGATCTCGCCGCTGAGTGTCACTCCGGGCCTGTTGACCCACGGACGCTTGAACTCACCGCGGCTGAGGGGTCGTGACAATCTTTGCGTAAGACCCTCGATTTTGGGTCACGTTTCACAACAGGTCTAGAGATATGATATCGGGCGTTGAGAAAAAGATTTCAGATCTAAGCAACAACAGGAAGCTACTAGGGGTTCCTGGCATCGCTACTAGGAGCAAGGACGCTACTAGGGGCTCCTGGCCGTACTACTAGGAGCATCCTTACTAGTAACAAGAAGCTACTAGGAACACGTGCGTCGCTTCTAGTAACAAGTGCCTTACTAGTAGTAACAAGGACACTACTAGGAGCATCCTTACTAGTAACAAGAAGCTATGAACGGGTCTCCTCCAGCGTGCGAGCTAGAAAACCGAGGCGCCGCACATTCGCGCTTCCACGCAACAGCGGTTACTATGCTCCTGGGCAGGAAAGATCTTGGGACGAAGAGGTCAAATTCCTTTGCTAGTAATTACAATTAAATTCTTATTGTTACTAGTAGCGATGCACTTGTTTCTACTAGTAAGGCACTTGTTACTAGAAGCGATGCACTTGTTCCTAGTAGCTTCTTGTTTCTACTAGTAAGGCACTTGTTACTAGAAGCGATGAACTTGTTCCTAGTAGCTTCTTGTTTCTACTAGTAAGGCACTTGTTACTAGAAGCGATGCACTTGTTCCTAGTAGCTTCTTGTTTCTACTAGTAAGGCACTTGTTTCTACTAGTAGGGCACTTGTTACTACTAGCGATGCACTTAGGTCAAATTATTGACGTTAGTCTGAGGTCACTGGCACCTTCACAAAATGGCATCACATTGCCTGGGTCTCAGACGAGGTTTGGTGTTGCCTTGATCTACTATAGCCATGCTCGAGGCAATGCAATGCGCGGATGACAGCCAGCTCCAAGAGTGGTCGACAACCTTCAGGCTGAGATGTCTAAATGGCATCTTGCTAGCGGGATAATGGCAATCTTTCTATGGTTCTTCCTGCTGATTATAGGGTGCCACCTTTATGTGTTGGACAGCGAAGGGTGAGGAACCTTGATCAAATGACAGCGGGAATTCATTCTTTCCGCTTGGGGTGTTGATACATTACACGGAGTCTCTCATGTCGAAGTCGAAGTGCTCGTTGCAGAGCAATGATGTCAGATCTACTGTAAAATTACTGGAATTGCTTTGTGTCCTGCGGAGATGTAATACACACAGATACTGTACATAGATCTTAGACAGACAGACAGACAGACAGACAGACAGAGAGATAGATAGATAGATAGATCAGATCATTGATTCAAGTGAATTGTATGACATGTGGATCATTTTGCAGTTGTCTCCTTCAGAGACGCGTGTGTCGCCATGACGACCTGATGACTGCAGTGGAGACATTGGTTGAGCTGGTTTTGTCCGGCCGCTTTTGTGATACCACGGTGTCTTGCCGCGAGAAAGATGGAAACATCACCAGGGTGCCCATGTCAAAGCTCCTCCTAGCGGCGGTGGGTGTCGAGCTGGGCAAAACCAATGAGACCCTTCAGCTGTCGATGCCTGCAGATGCTTTCAAGATGATTTTAGTGAAGAGCTTTGGCTTGGAGAGCCGGGTTCTAGATGCTGACCTTGAAGCAGCTTTAGCTGCTTGGCAGAGGGACATGCAAAAACATTCCGATCGCCTCTTTCGGCATGCGTCAGGGCCAGCTCGGCAAGCCAGGCCACTTGTCCTGTGGACTGCCCTGACCTTGGCAGTTGGAGGCATTTATGCGTGGGCACCTGCTTTCCAATACAAGATGTTCAACAATGGATTCTTCATGGATGATGCGATGATCGCCCGGAACCCCAATGTGATCGAAAGTTTGGACTGGAATCGGCTCCTTCGTACCGACTATTGGGGTTTGGACATGTTTGCAGGTACTTGGACGCACAAATCCTTTAGGCCACTCACAGTGGTGACCTTCCGGTGGAATTTCTTGCTGCACGGCTTTGAATCTAGTGGCTTTCATGCCACAAATCTACTTCTGCATTTCATATGTTCATCCATGCTGGTGTTTTTTGGCATTCGTTGTGGGCTGCCAGCTGATTGGTCCTGCCTTTTAGGCGCTTTGTTCCTCATCCACCCCGTGCATACTGAAAGTGTGCTCTATATTGTTGGGCGAGCTGACCTCATTTGCTTGGCCCTGGTGATCATGTCATTTTTGCTACACAAAGAAACAACTTCCGGGAAGCTCTGGCTCTCTTTTGTTGGCGTCCTGCTCTCATCAGGCTTCTTACTCGCAGCTGGTTTATGCAAAGAGACGGGTTTCTGCTTCTTTGGTCTCCTTGTTGGTTGGGACATCCTTGTGCTGACCTTGCGTTGTCAGAGTCGCTTGCTCTTGAGGATGTGCTTGGTACTTCTTGTTGGTATCTCCTTGTGTGCTGCGCGAGTTTGGTATACGAGTGGGACGACGATCGAGCGGATGGATCCTTTCAGTAATCCTGTTGCGGCTGAGAAGGACCGTGTGGTGCGCTTTTTGTCGTATGCTCTTGTGCATGGCATATATGGGAAGCTTTTGGTTTGGCCAAGCTTCCTTTGCTACGACTATTCATTCGATGCAGTGCCACTGGTTCGAAGTTTGTCAGATTGCCGTTTGCTCTTGCCAGTGAGCTGTTACCTCGGCTTTGCTCTTCTCACGACGCAGTCGCTGCAACTATTAAGGAGATGCGTGCATACACACGACCATGCTGTGCCTGTTGTTGGCATTGCTATATTGATACTCAGCTTTTTCCCAATGTCGAATGTACTTTTTCCCGTTGGTACCATGGTTGCAGAGCGCCTTCTGTACATACCGTCGGCTGGCTTTCTTATTGCAGTTGTTGGCCTTGCACGACATCGAGAAAACCATACCGCTTGTATCTTAGTCTTAGTCGTTGCAGGGCTGGTCCTAACACTTCTCACAGCGCAGCGAGTTGTTGAGTGGTCCAGCCCAGAAGCAATCACCGTAGCTGATGCTGCGAAGCAACTCCGTTCCACCCGAGTCCAATACAATTTGGCCACCCACCACCTATCCAATAAACGATATGATGAGGCCTTTTCCTCGTTTGAGACTGTGATGGCGCTAGATCCAACTGACAGAGACTGCATGCCTTTGTACCATGCCGGTCAGATTCAGATCTACCGGGGAAACCACAAAGCAGCAGAAGAGCTTCTGGCCAGAGCAGTTGAAGGCCACTTCAGCCCACTCCTAGTGAATGAGGAAGAAGTGTTTCATGACTATGGGCTGGCTCTGTGGTTTGCCGAGAAGCCCAAAGATGCGATTTTGAATTTTGAAAAGAGCTTGTCAATCAACGGAACCTTTTCGAAAGGTTTCAACAACTTGGGCTGTGCGTTGGGCCTAGGAGCCCTTCTAGGACGACTACCTCAAGAAGCGCTCGTGCAAGGTATTCAGCAGTTGCAGGAGGCGGTGCAACTGAGCTCTGACAATGTGCTCTACTGGCGGAACTTGGTGGCGTTGCTGCGCTTTGCCGGCCGCCCGGAGGCTGAAGTCGCTTGGAAGCAGCTTCTGACCTTGGACGCCAGCAACGCCGCGAATCCACCAGAGGATTGCAGTTGGGAATTCGCCTTTCGATGACCAACTAACCAACAGCCGGCAGATTTCCAAATGGTCGCACAAATGAAGGCGTGCACCATGTCCAAATTGAGGACATGCTTTCCACGACCTCGTGAATGCAGATACAGGGACACTTCAAATCTCCACACAACGCCTTTGCTGCCAAGGTCAGTGAGGTGATGCTTTCCGACCGAGTTTGTCCGTCGCTGCGATCAGACAAATGTCTCCATGCCAAAAAGTTCGAGCCATTTCGATGTGCTGGTTCATGGCTACTAGGAACAAAGGGCATCGCTACTAGTAACAAGAAGCTACTTTGGCCGGACGACCCGTTGAACCTATGTCTATGCACCAGTCCAAAATGTTGTCCGATGCAGGATCGGTCAGCGAGGCCGAGAGGAGTTTCAGATTCTGAGGGACGGAGATCGGCTACAGGCATGTCCGATGTTGTCCCATGTAGCGTCCCTGCTCCTAGTAGCGATGCCCTTTGTTCCTAGTAGCTTCTTTCTCCTAGTAGTAAGGCCAGGAGTCCCTAGTAGCGTCCTTGCTCCTATGTCCGATGTTGTCCCATGTTGCTGAGATGTTCACTTTGATGCCGCAACATGTTTGATGTGAGTGACATTTCATATGTCATATGCTTCCTGGGACGATTCATGGAGTGGGCCAGGCCATTTATCCAACTTTCCCTCATGCTACGGGGGCTGGTGAGGAGGCATGACTCTAGCTGAATTTCTTTTCAGCGCGTAGAACTGTTGAGACGATGCTGTTAGGCGTGTGGGCCTGATGAATATGGCAGCGGCCGTCATTTTCAGGTAGGAAGACAATGCAGAGCTAGCCTACTAACAGTGTTCAAAGCTTTTGGAGGCTCAGAACACTTCAGCTTCTTTAAGCATCTGAGCTCTCCAGGTGAAGGGAACACCCGAGGAGGAGGCTCATGACATTGCAGAACTTGTCGGAACTCAGACACGGCTGTTTGACACAGGTCGAGCTCAGCCTTTTTGTAGAGGATGGCCAGGCAGCTCCGCAGCTGTTTCTTTTCGTTCTCCATTCTAGTTTAGCCGTGTTAGGTCATCGTGAGGGCTTTCATGTCATCATCGAGACGTTCAAGGCGCGCTTTGTAGGTTTCGCGGTGTGCTTTTGTGTGTGAGGGCCCCGGGAACTGGGGCCCGGGAGCACGGCGCATGTGTGAGCTTGATGTGGGACATGTTGGCAGATGATTGCTTAAGGGTTGCTGTGTGAATCACCTCAGGCAATGGAACAGCAACAAGGGTTGGGTGTGTGGCCCCAGCGGCAAGATGTCAAGAGTATCTTGGACTTTAGACTTTGGAGACGATGGGTGAACTCAGGCCCGGCACTCATATGTGGTCATTCGGGATGATGGAGGCCGGGGAATTGGTCGTCGCTGCTGCAACTTGTCACAAGCCTGGCCAGCTTGAGCTATCAATAGCAGGCCAGAGTATTCCAATGACGTTCTGATCTCAGCTGAAAGCTGGTGACTTTGGAAGTGCTAGCTTCTAGGTTTTGACAGCTGAGCATTGGTGGTGCAGAGAGCTTGCGATCTCATTAAGGATGAATTCCCGGCGCCCTGGCATTTTCACCTGCTCAGTCGTGGTGGGGAAGGCCTTTGCTTGGATGTTGCATGGCTAGGCCCTTGAGAGACTCTGGGCACCCCACAGGACTTTGATAAGGAGGCTGGTGCCTACTTCCTCAACTTTCAGGTGCCGTGCCCAACTGTCCGTTTGCAAGAATTATGCAAGTTTGCCCAGCTGCAGCTTCACTTTGTCAATAGAATTTCTTGGGTTGCTTCCATGACAGGTGGCTGTTGATGGTGATAGCCGTTGGGCTGATGGCTCAACCATACTGTATTGGGTAAAAAAGGTAATTATTGCTGGAGGCTGAGGTCATGCTGCCAGGGAAAGTCAAATCTCAGGTCTTCTTTCCTCTACAGGCTGGAGGACTCTCTGGAGAGGCGGGTCAAGGGATTCATCCTTCACAAGGCACCTATTCTGAGACAGTGCCACTCATATCCCATCAGGTCATTGTGAGCCAACCGCCGCTTCACGGCAATGGCCGTGGCCCAAGATTCTTCCCTGGAAGCTCAGAGCTTGCGCTGCTTGCTGGCAGGTTCCGAGGTCCCGTTCTCGATCTATAGTCCTTCGCCAGACAAGCCTGTCCTTCAGTTGCCGCTGCTTGCTCTTGAAGGGCTCCTAGAAAACAACGCCAGCCGAGCCAATGGTAAGGACTTTCCAGATCACTTTGGACCTCACGGCGCAGGAGACTACTTTTGGGCGAGGTGTCAGAGCTGGAGAGTACAAGGGGCGCTGACGGGAGTGAGTCGTCTCCGATGTGCTTGTATTTGCATACTCTTTGTCCGAGCTTGAAAGGGACATGCATCTTCAGATTGCTAGTTGTTGCTGCCGAGGCTACTACTGTTGTTGCTGTTGCTGTTGCTGTTGTTGTTGTCGTCGTCGTCGTCGCCGTTGACGTCGCCGTTGACGTCGTCGTCGTCCCGACCAGGACCGGAGAAATACAGTGACATGGAAGACAATCTGAATTTATTGTTGGAGATGTGTGTTGTACATAGTGACCACAACAGTAGGTTGTGGCTGACCTCTTCCTCTTCAATGTGTCTTATGTTTTTCGATCTTTAGCAACAACCAAGTGCAGTCCTGCAACGCAGCGCAATGCACAAATGAGCCAAGCGGAACTCTTAATTGTCCAGTGCTAGACTTGGCAGTTGGCAGCTGTGGCTAACAAGCTGGATATGCAACGAGTGACCCGCAGCCACATATTTCAAACCAATCCTAGCTTGTCCTAGGACAATCTGCAGTTGAAGTCAAAGCATGCTCAACATTTGAGAGATGGAACTTTCTTGCCAAAATCTGCGGGGACCAATTGTGATGAATTGTGCATATAAGAGATCAGCTAGAGATTTGGGCCGTCCCTACCCGCTTGGTCACTAGATACCAGACGTGTCCCACATCAAAGCTGCCTAGCACGCATGGGAGTGCAGAACTTAGGAGCCTTGCCAAAACTCTCAGCCTCACCGCTTGCAAGATTGTTTCCATCTCGAAACTGTACACGGACATGTTGATCAGCCGAATGTTTCTCAGGCCCAAGTCGCGACACAGCCAGGGGATGAGAGATCCCCAGATTGGTTCAGCTTCGAGGCGGACATGACAGGTTTTCTTCGCCTTTGGTTGACATGTGCTTCATGTGCATGTGCTGTCTCACAGCAGTGAAAGAATCACTCGGTTCACCTGAATGATTCACTAGATTCACCAGGTTACTCCCCCACTTTGCCGCTCACTGTGCTGCGAGACAGCTAGCGAGACAGTCACTCGTGTCAAAACAAGCAAGGAGACTGATATCAATTATGCTGTAACGCTAGAGGAGAGTACCTTTGGGCTTGAAAGTCATGATATTTTGTTTGTTCACTCGAAGCGGAAGACTCCTGACTCCCATCTAAATCTAAGGTTGCAGAAGTATGGGATACGGAAGGGAAGTCCTTCGAGGTGCTAAGAGATGGAAAAGACAAAAGCTACATGGCATGGCTACCTACAGCTGGTACAGTTCTTCAGGATCAATCCTGGACCACCCACATGCTCCAGGCGTCCTATCAAAGGCACGGACACCCTTAGGACAGAGGAGCACTGAACATGTTTTGCATTTTGAGCACCCTTTGGTCCAGGGCAGTGGGATGGCCGGAGCATTTCGAGAAAGAGCTTCCGACTCAGATGGGTGTTAGGCCCAATAGACGGGTCCCCAACCATTGGTGAAGGTTCTTGTGTTTAGAGTCCTGCCATTCTGTGCATTCTAAGGGCTTAGGCTAAGGTGTAGACTCTGTAGACCAGGGTTTTGACTCACTTTGTTCTTTTTTTGTGGAGTTGCCGTAAGGACCAACAACACTGTTCTCTGAAGTGCGCCGGAAAGCTGAGGCTGGACGAGCTGCGAATCTTGGGTGTTCTAGGTTTTGAACTTCGAGGTGCCTTGAACTGGGCATGGAGAAGATTGAACGTGAAAGGCAGCAAAGACATTTTGTATGCTGTACTTGTTAGATCTTGTTAACTATTTTTTAGGTTTTTCTTTAGTGGTGAAAACTCCTTTCCCCAAGAGACAGACAAAGAATTAGAGCCGAACAACTTACGATGCAGGATTTGGTGCAAGTCAACCCATCTAGGTATCTAGGTTTGAAGGGGCAGTTGGCAAGCCTGCTTTCCGCAGCAGTGTTGGACCAAATGTCATATATATATATATACACAAGCTCGTAGAAAAGAGCACGTGACCACGAAAGAGTAAGGCCAGTGCTTTGAGCTTATATTTTTATTTCATTGCGGAATGACTAATGATTATGACAACTCAGAACAGGGTCAACAGTCTCAATAGTCAAGATCATTAGGAATCTCTGAAACCAAGTCCCCAAAGATGCGGAAGAAAAAGAGAGAGCAGCTGAAGCAGGAGAAGGAGCAGAGGACGCTGGATCGAATCTGCGTTATGTACACTTTAGAAGATCCACAACTCTTGCTCGATGGCTGGGGCAAGTAGGTTGAACAATTGAGAGCCTTGCATCTAGAATATGCTTTGTTTCCAGGACAGGCTTGACAAAATGATATGCGGTAGTTGTGCCAGTCTCTTTGGGCTCCATAATGTTGCTAGGAACTGGCATGCAGATGTTTCTTGTAGTGACTTGCCGTCAGGTATGCTGATGATCAATCCTTGAAACTTTTTGCTTGCATTCTTTCACTTCGACTCCCAGGGCGAAGCAGGAGGGCGCAGTCCTTCAGTCTTCATCCAATGTGACAGCTGAGGAGGTAGTGCCGTTCGGCTAAAGCGGTATGAAGCTGTTGGGTGTGGCGGTGCGTGGCACATGAACAGATGAGGCTAAGCAAGCGCAGCCTAAAGAGGAAAAAGAAGGCAGCAGCCAAGGCTGCAGTGAAGGCCATTACGTTCCATTTTTACGATACTTCCAATTTTGCTTCCTGTCACATATGTTGACATGTGTGGTGGAAGCTGGATCCGCAGCTCTGTGAGGCCTGTGAGTTCCTTCGGCGTGAAGACAATACGATGCCTGCCAGCTTGGCGCAGGCACAGGCTCCGCCTGCACCACCATCTTCTCCAGTGGAGTCAATTGATGCGATCTTTGCAAAAGCAAAGCGCCCTGCTACTGATTCAGCAGGACAGAGGGCTTCCGTTTGGAGTCTGGAGTGGTGCGTGTGATGCTAGTCTAGTACATAAGTGATGTCTGCCTTGGCCAAAGGCGCTTTCATCTGTGCATTGCAGACGAGAGGAGCGGATGGCAAAAGCAAAAATGGAGGCGCTTCCAAAAAGAAGGCTATGAGACGTGCCAAGCGTCCCAAAAATGGATCGATTGATGATCCTCTTGGCAGGTGAAAGCCTCAGCTTTCTGGGCTTACCTGTGATGCAATGGTAGGTTGAAGTGGTGAAAGCTTTGTGCATCCTGATTTGTAGATGGACAACATGGAGTCACGAAGTGCTTTGTTCAATGAACCATTTCGAGGGACCTGAAGCATTTTCCAGCTGTGTGTCCATGCTGCTCCTCTCAGGTCTGGTGATTGGGCGGATGATGGCCTAGGAGGCATTTACAACAAAGAGGGCTGGACTGGTAGGCACACCGACGACAACCTGCGAATATTCAAGGCGCACTTGATAAAGGTAGGACAGGGTGGTGGAAGTCCAAATTGCCCCTTCGATCCTCGGCTGCAATTCTAAGGCAGATGCTCTGCGGCAGTTCGTTTTGTTACATTTTGTATCTTAAATGTCGAAATTCTTGAAAATTGTAGTTCTGGCCTTCAGTGCCAAGGATTGCGATTGCTGCTACTAGCCCCTTGCACTCATAGGGAAAAAGATGGCACAGTTGCTGCGTTTAGATTGCACACCCTCCGTGCCAGCCGTCCAACCAGCACAGCCGCAACACGTTGGGAGAAAGCAACTGATTTCGCAGAGAACCCCTTTTAGGTGCTAAATGATTAAATGGGAGTCCGCTTTGGCCAAAGCTGTTTTGACTGGCACTGAGCTTCGGACTTTGTGGACCTTTGCGCAGGTTTAGGGCCACGGTCGTACCCCCAGTGGAGTGTGTAGCCTCTGCGACAGTCTTGCAACAGACCGTTGAGGCCACCACATCGCTTCCATTCTGGTGCGGTTTATGTGGGCAAAGGGCTTGGGAGCAACAGAGCAACTCATTTAGTGTTGGAATGCCAAGCTAGTCGGATTCTGTTACGCAAAACACTCAAAGCATCATAAAGGCATGCAAAACGAAGAAGCAGCTGGCAGCAACTCGTGGCACCTGAGGCCAGTGGTGTGGAAATCAACGTCATGGATTTGGACGCCAAACCTGGCGCGACTCTTGGACACCGGTGATTTGCAGTGACACTGCCATTTGTTCCTAGTAGCTTCTTGTTACTAGTACTAAGGCCAGGAGCCCCTAGTACGATGCACTTGTTCCTAGTAGCTTCTTGTTACCAGTAGCTCCTTTAAAGGTTTGTTCCTCTCACGTCTGCCCGATGACCACCTTGTTCCTCTCACGCACCTTTCTGCACGATGACAAGGCCAGATGGGGCACAATACGAGGGTTGCTGGTCCAACAGCAGTGCTTCCGGGTCACTGGCCTAGTGAAGTGTCTTGAAACGTGTTGAGGTTAGGGCCTGAGCTGATGTGCAAGGTATGGACGATTCAAGTTTCCAGATGGTTCCGTGAAGAGCTTGGATGTATTGAATTCTTGGGGTGGCCCTGAGAAGAGATCCTCCGAATCCTCCTCCCCTGCCCGGATCAAAAAAACTGAGTACTTTCATGATCGTTCAGGTTATTCTTGGCTTTTTGGGGGTTTGGTTTCGTTTATGGCAGCCCTTTCAAACACTTCCTTCCTCCCATCTGAGGTGTACTTGGGCCAATGGCGTGGAAACCGCTTCCACGGTCAGCCTCTCAAAAGCCGCCGGCAGGTAGGTTTAGTTTTTAATCATTCCCTTGGACGGAATTTTGGTTTACGGTGCGCTGTAAATGTTTTCGAGCAAGGTTATGGATCACATTACCTGGCAGATGGATCATCATACCACGGCGAGTGGGCTTGCTGCTCAGATTCTGCGGCGCCGACAGGTCTGCAGACAGTCCAGTATGGTCCAGGGTCTATCTTCGGTTTTGGAGATTCCATGAGAATCTTCCCGCATGTTTTGGCTGTGTCATCACCTCGAGGGTTTTGAGGGAAGCAGTGTCACGATTGTTAGCGTTTGTTGCAACATCTCTGCTTCAATTGCACTGTTCTTTGCCCGAAAAGCTTCTGACAGACAGGTTCATGGTCATCGAGATGGCGTTGGAGTGGAGACCTGTGTGACACTCATGATTGGGTTGGCGAGTCTTGGTGTGTCGCTTGTCGAGTCATGGCGCATTTTCTGATTGGTGTCCTACGTTGTTGATGCTGTCAGTTGCAGCTCGACCCAACGGGCGAGTAGGCAGAATGCAGCTTGCATAGCCGCAGCCATGGATTGTGTGAATGGCTCAGCTCACAGAAAAGCTGGCCACATGTGAAGAGCTTTTGACGGACTTGCTCCAAGATCAAGAGCTCTTTCGAAGTGAGCAGCTGCGGCTTCTCCGAGGATTGGTTACACAACTGGCCAGCAAGTTGTGGAAGGGCCGAAAGGGATCAGGACGGTCAGGGTCAAGAGACGAGTGTACAGACACTCCGACTCCACATGGAGCTGAAGAGCTGCTGCCCAGTTCGGTCGATGCACACGAAGCTGGAGCTTACTCAAAGTCGACTGCTTTGGAGGCTCCTTTGCAGGTTTGCATGGTGAAGCCTGCTCAACTGAGCCGACTGCTTTACACGAACCCGGTTTGTATTCTAAGCTCCTGCGATGAAAGACTCCGTCGCAACTTGATGACCATCAGTTGGCTCACGCCCATCGACAATCACGGTCGCTTGATTTGCTCCATCAATAAACGTCGGCACTCCGCTTCTGGAATCCTTGCTCAGCGGCTCTTTGTGCTGAACGTTCCAAGTGCAGAGCTTGCGCAGACAGTGCTGGAAGTTGGTGGCAGTAGTGGTGAAGTAGTTGATAAAATCGAGTGCTTCTCGTCAGCCTTGGGTGGATGCTGTAGCCCTGGCTGGAAGCCGTTGGATTGGCCTCCTCAAGTCTCGCCCGAGTCCCCTGAGTCTCCAGTTTTTGCCCTCTATGGCTGTGTGGCGCACCTGGTCATTCAAGTGCACGCTGATTTGACAGCTTCGTCTGGCCAAGATGCGCATTACATACTTTCTTGTTCCATACTCCACGCGTATGTTCGGGCATCCTACTGGGATGGAAAGATTTTTTGTCCACGCCACAAGGGCACGGTGCCGTATTTGACCTTCTTTGGAAGCCAGACCTTCGGAGTAGTTCTTCCAAAGTGAATGGACTCCAGGTCACCACGTAACCACATGGCTTGCTATCTAACAAGGCCTGGCGGCCTGGCACGGAATCAAGCGACTCCCCTCTCCAGGTACCGAAACGCTGTGCTGTTTGACTGTCATCATCATCATCACGACACCTCTAGAGAGCTCTGCAGACAGCTTCTGAAGTCTGTAACTCAAAAAGACAGAGGCCGTCTCACACTTTGGCCAGAACTCGATCGACATTTGTTTCTTGATATGTTTGGCGCTTATATAACGTATAAGTTTTCCACAAAGCCAGGGGTGTACCAAGGGCTAGATGAGGCTACCACAGCGCATTCCGCCATTTTCCAGGCTGAAAGGAGAAGGTCTGAGTCTAAAGATGTCTAAAGATGTCTTTAGTGTGGTGGGTTACATGCAACTAGGCAAACGGAACAAGTACTGAACGGGTTCGCAGATCACTGCTATGGAGACTTCCTGCAGTATTATTGCGCTTTTTGACGGGGTATGTTTGCCATGCGAGCGGTTCTTCGTGGTGTGCTTTTGTGCTTCGTTGCCCAGCTTCTTGCAATCTCAATTGCGCCTTGACTGCAGCCAGGGAGCTGTTTGTCAAATCGCTTGGTTTGCTACCGATTCTAGCAATTCTAAGCTCAGGAATCGTTCACTGGCTCTCGATCCTTGGTCCTTTTTCAAAAATACAAACTCTCACCTATGAACCGAGCTGCCATTTTGAGCAAGAGGAGACGTACGAAAACATTTGGATGTCATTTTAAGGCCCCCACTCACATGCATGAAAAGACAGCTTTTTCATCAGGCTGCTTATATTTTTGACATGTTTCAATGGCTACTTTGACGTCCAAGGAACTCCTCGAAGCGGTTTGAATCTGCGCCCCACCTCTGTGGACGTCCGTTTGCACGCCACCCTCTCTGATGCGCTTGGAGGAGTGCCGGCCTTAAACCTGGCAGGTCTTCAGATGGACAATCTGTCAAATGAGCAAATCAAAGGCAAGCCCGGTGCCCAGGCGAAGCTTCCAAAGTATATCGAGATTTCGCAAGAGGCGCTGCTTGCTGCAGCAATTGTGCAGGGGAAGAGCCTTGTCTGAATGAAGGCTCGACAATGCGAAACGCCCGTTGCTCCGTGAATCTTCAAGGAAGGAAGAGGTGAAGCCGCTCCTGGAGACAGGCTCTTGCGGAGACTATTTTTCGTGTGACTCGAAACCGTACTCTCAACATGCTCCAGTTGAAGTTCAGCACCCTGTTGAGTTGCTGCCAGACATGTCGATCATTGTCATTGTCATTATGAAGTTTCTTGCGTTTTCTTGCGCTCATATTTCGTGCCTAGAAACCAGTCGAGTCGAGTTTGTTTTTTTGCTGCAGGAGCTCCCCTAGAAGCGATCACCATCCAGGGGCGGACTGCTTTGGCCTGCGCGGCGGTGCCTCAACCTTTGGTTAATCTTCACGTGTTCGTGGCCTGCTGTGGCCCTTGGGTCGATGTATGTCGATAGAGATTTGTTACTAATAGTAAGGCCAGGAGCCGTAGCGATGCCCTTTGCTCCTAGTCTAGTAGCGATGCCAGGAGCCCCCAGTAGCGAACATTGTTACTAGTAGTAATGAGAGGAGCTACTAGTTACTAGTAGCAGTAGCGATGCCCTTTGTTACTAAGGTGATCAATGACCCAGAGAGTGCACGCCTTTTGCTGGAAAGTGGCGCACAATTGGAGGCCTGGACCGCAAGGACCACAGCACGCAAGGAGCTTGTGATCGACCAAGGCCTTGGACGACACTGGAAGGACACCGTTGTCTTTGGCTGCGGCCTATGGTCATTTGGTTTCTCAGATGAATCAGATGTGGGCTGGTTCAATTTCTCCTAGCAGCCGGCCTTAGTATTAGACTTGCTTCGTACGCGCCCCTTGTATCTCAGGAGGTTGTTCAGCTGTGTATAGACTCTGGGGCCTGCCTGGAAGCACGAGACAATGGACAGCTGACTCCACTGCTGTGGGCTGCTGTCAATGGGAACGAAGGCCACCGCATCCGCACTGTGACATCCTTTTGCAGCAACGTTGCTTTGAAGGTGAAGCCCAGAGGAAAACGTTGAAAGACACCCCATAAACAATGGCAGTAGCGAGTCCTGTTCAGATGTGGTTCGCTGCCTTGTGGCCAACGGAGCTGACACTCAAGCAAAAGATGAGGATGGAATGAGGCCAAGTCCGCATGTAGTGCCGCTGGATAATGTTTTGGCTTTTGTGATTCCAGCGCTCAGATGACGAGGATGTCTCATACTATGAGCCTTCGACTTTGATGAAGAAGGGTCTTAAGTCTCTTGCATGTCCTTCGCTCCTGATTGTTTCAACCTGCCGCCTTCTTGCTGGGTTTATCTCAGGACTGCACTCAAGTTGGCGACCGTCTTCAAGCGCACGGAAATCCAAAAGATTCTAGCGGAGCAGGACAGAGATTCAGATGGAATTCATACATGAAGTTCACGCCTCCATGTTGACGTGAACTGTGACAATGTTGCAAAGCTGTTCTAAGCATCTTTCATGGCAGGCCAACTTTCCTGACAAGAAGGTGGCTTAAAGTTTGAAGTGACTCAAGCCGTTTGTCATGACGGTCGTGGAAGCCATTGCGTCTCACTAAGAGTTCCAATCTGATGGTTCGACTGTGTAAATATTCATCTTCCAAAAGGTCGACCGCTCGCTTCCAGCAACTAATTGAGCAGCGAAGACTGCTGGCTATATGTATTGATTTATGTATACCTAAGTAGCAACTTGGGAGCTACGCGATGGGGAACGATTCTGAAGGTGAATTCAGAATCTTTGGTTGGCGCCCGGAAAATGGCAAAAGATTGATCTGGACATTGTTGAGAGAGCTTTGCACCTTCCAACCATCAATGACAAGATAGAGTTTACTATTTTTCTGACAATTGTACTGTATATAATTAATTTCAATCAACACATCTCCGCCAAGAGTTGAGGCACCACCTCAGAGAATCGCCCTGCTAGCGACCCAGCGCAGTAAGTTTGGATAGATGATAGATATTGATAGAGCTCCCAATAGCGATGCCCTTATTGCTAGTGATCATGTGCCACTCCAGTCAGACAGCTTGGCTTTATACCTGCCAAGGGGTCGACGTACTGGGGTGAGTTCTGCCGTGGGCAGAAGGACGAACATGTGCGTTGTGTACATCAACACGTTGCCACGCTGCTTGGCATGTGACTTATTCTTGTTGCGATTGCGTGTGATTACCCCACAGGAAGGCCTTGGCATTGGAAAGTGGGATGAGGGCAGCCGCTATGTGGGGCAGCGGATTGCTTAGCCGGCTCAGCCATCACCTTCCAAGTGGACAAAGTTTCCTTTGTCATCAAATCAAGTGTGGAGTCAATATTCATGCCTTCGAGAGATGTCATTTCCTTCTATCCTTCATAGCTGTAGCATCAGCAGGTGGCGCGCAGGCATCTCCGCTGGCTATGGCATTCTGACATCAGAAGGGGGCTCGCGCAGCTACAGGTCCCCAGAGCAGTGTACACTCGAGGGTGGTTTCCGAGCATGCTTGACCGCACTGCGCTTGCATCGGGTAGGGGCCAATTTGTACAAGCCAAGAAGCATGGCGGGTGTCCGAGACAGCCTCTAAACTTTTCGCCCTCTGCAGTTCATGGCATGATCATTCTCAGATCTGAGGACGGGGAATCTATACTTGGCCTGACGGACGTAGGGGGACCAAGGAGTTTCAAGTCACGAGACAATCGAAACATATGAAACGAAGTCAAGGTGAGCATCTTGGGCTTTATCACATGGATTTTGCTTTTGGCTTCGGAACGCTTCGCTGGTTGGTGCCTCATAACTATGCTCCTTGCACCTGGTGCAGCTGCTGCCAAGTTTGGTGCATTCTTTTCTTATTTGTTGTGTTTTTCCTTCTTTACCTTACGGGTGCTTAGAGTCTTCAAGGCCTGATGGACGACGATACCACAGCTTCTGGAGAAACGCACGGACTGCAGGCACGGAGAGGCAAACTGGGTGAATCGCTGTGGAGTTGTCCTCTCTGAGCTCTGAAGGACACGGACTTTTCATGGATGCCGATGGGAACATCGGGCAGAGCTGGCGGTGTTTGTGTCGGACATTCAGAGCATTCAGACGTGAGTCTTGCCCTTGAATGAGACAGCCAGGCCGCTTCCTCCAAGCCTAGCTGACGATCAGTTTCAAGTTCCAGTGAAGCTTCAGGCTCACGCCAGCTCACCATCAACCCATGTCATCCCAGCTGTCCTTTTTCACCGGTCCATTCTTTGCATTACATCGGCATGCTGCTGCGGAATTTTGGCTCCAAGCAGTTTTGCAAGCTTAGAGTGCTAGGGGCAACCTTTGAAGCCATGCCACCAGCACAGCTTCTGGGCTAATTGGACAATTAGTACCCATCTGCCCCATTACAGAGGGTTCATGCTTCAGGGTTTTGGGCTCACAGTAGAGTTTAGAGTTATTCGCATGGATGCACTGGAATTGCTGAGAGGAGTGAAGCGTCAAGCACCAAAGGAGTACTGTAGGCTGAAAGTAGCGATGCCCTTTGCTCCTAGTAGCGTCCTTTTGTTTTTGCACTGAAAGCGCTGAAAGTGTCCCAATGTTCTATCATCTCAGCCATCCGATCACCAAAACTGATGCTATTGTTCACAGTGCCCGGGGCAGACGGTACATTCTGGGTGTGCGTCGGCGCTGGAAAGGCTTTCACTCGCAAACGTCAGCACCGTGCTCCAGTCGCGTCTTGGCTACAACAACTGAATGCCAGTAAGTCCAGCATGCCAGCATGCTAACCGACATATTATTCGACGCAAGGGCTTTTGCTCTTACCTGCTCAGGTATGAAGGTCGTGACAAGACTGCTCGCTTCTTGCAGTTTGCAGCCCGCTTCGTTGTTGGGCTGACAGCTCGCGTTTCTCATTCAAGCTTGGCACATGTTTAGTCATTGGCCAGTGTTGAGGATTAAGTTCGGGGAGAGTCACAAAAGAGGAGGGACCCATAAAAGTGCTCTGCTTAAAGGATCCTTACCATCCTCTTTTCACGAAAGGTAGCCCTTTATGGGATACCTTGAGTTTGTCTTGCGAAGCAAGTGTTGGCGCGTCCGGGTCTAATAATTGACCATTCAATTCAACCCCCCCCCCCCCCCTCGAATTGATTTCTCAATACAGACCCCCCCTGCCCCCCCGCCCCCTTGGAATTGATTTTTCGATACAGACCCCTCTAAATTCAATTCTCTCCTGGAGAACGTCTTCGTGAGCCTCTCATGATTTCAGGATAGTTGAAACCCTCTTGAACATTCAGAAAGAGTGCATATGAAATTCTAATCACGAAAGGTGTTCCCCAAGGGGATACATACCTAGAGTTTGTTTTGTGAAGCACGTCAATTCTCTCCTGGGGAACGTCTTCGTGAGCCTCTTATGGTTTCAGGATAGTTCAAATCCTATGATGCTCCGATTCAATGCTCACCGATGATCTGAGCCATGGGGCAAGTTTGTTTTCCTAAGAATCTTTTTGAACATTTCGAGAGCATATGATTGAACATTTAGAGTGCATATGAACATATATTTACGAAAGGTCGCCTCGGAGGGGATAAATCACCATGTCGAACATTGCATTTTTGTTCCTGCCTCTCGCGTTCTCTTCTCTTCCCGCTGTCCTACCTTTCGTGTCTCCCTCCTCTCAAGTTTGAAGACTGTCAGTGGACACTCTTGGAGTCAACACTTGTTGTGAAAAATGTCAATGCCCAGGCGAAGGCCGGCACGATCTGTAAATATCGGGAAGAAGCTCGAAAAGTCCTGGCAGCAATGACCAGTGCCAGGCGAACCTTCCGCCTGGGCAGAAACCCAGTTGCATTGGATCAGCGTGAAGCACTTTGTTGCTGGAAGTTTGACTCTAACCGAAGACTGCAAATCTGCCAAAGTTGACTTTCTACCGCTGGCCACCACTTTGTAAGGAGTTAGTTCGTTGGTTCGTCGGATACCGGCACAGCAGCAAGGAGAGCTGCCTGTGCTCCTCTCGATGACCATGACAAATGAGACGGAGCTTGCAGATCGACTGCTGGAACTCGCGCAGAAGGCAACGCCAGCAGCTAGCAGCTTTACAATGCTTTACACAGAAATATTCAAAATGTGTCACCAGGTCTTTTGGGCCCCCAGAAGGGAGGTCATACACAGAGTGATGGGGCGCTAGCCAGGTGACCCCACCAGCACAGACAGCCATTGAACATTTACAGTCAACGAAATCCAATCCCAAGAACCATTTACAGTAGATGAAGACTGTAGCGAGGGAGAGCATCCAGTCAAGACTTATTGCGTATGTTTCGCACACAGGGTGCAGTGCACCCACAGATCCCAAGTGCATCGCGCACTTGCATGTATTTGTCTTGGGCGTGCCATATTTGCAATACCAGTGCCCACGCACACTGGACTGAACAAGCGCTGATGTTGAGTCATGGGGAAGTTGTATCGAGATCGGTAGATCGGCAATAAGACAATGTCAATGCGTTCGGATGCTTTTTTCAAGCCTAGACAGACTAGACTCAACGAAGGGTGCAGTTTCCTCAATTTTTGTACCCAACGGCCTAACGCAACATCCTAAAGATACTACTGTAATTACATCTAATTTAATTACTAATTACTATTCTCCTGACTTTCCTGTGTTGGCAGTTCCGTGGGGTGGGGGCGAGACTTGCAGGCAGCTCTTGTGGTGTATTTTGTGGTGGACCATGTGGGATGGCTGAAGCAGGTGCATGGTGGTGCATTGGTGCATTGACAGGTAGGGATAGAAGGAGACGATGACGCCTGAGAGCCTTGTAGAGTGCAGTTGCAGTGCAGGTGCACCGTGGTGTGAAGAGTGGGTCAAAGACAATCCAACTTGGACTCAAGTGGCTGGCAATTTCGAGTTTCATCTCTGTGTGCTTTAGCAGCATTTCAGTGCTGGACAGCTTATATAATTGAGTGTTCAATATTGTATGTTGCGAAGCCATTTGCCTTCCAACCGCCAGCCTGCACTCTGCACATTCCAGGGTGGCTGGGCTGCGCAATGCATGCAAGGATCAGAGTCATCCTGACGCAAGCAGCGGGGACAACCGAAAGGCACGCTGTAGTGTGTGCATCTGTGTGCCAGTCAGATTCCGTGAGTTTTCACACAGACAAACCCACGCAATCACTCGCTCCTGCCTGCCTGCCTGCCTGCCTGCCTGCCTCCCTCTCTCCTCCCTCCCCCTGCATCACAGAAGTCAAATGATGACCAAAGTGCAACTTTGGACCGAACAGGCGCAGGCCTGGAACATCATCAGAGACAGCCTCGTGGCGGTTCAGGCGCTTCACCTCTCACGCTGGATGGAAATTGGTGCTTTGCATGCAAGATGGAACAAGATGACTGATGACTCTGGTCTTATTCTTTCAAACTAAACCGCGGTGGCAGCCCAGTGGTGGCAGTTGCAGTGACACCTTTTTGGTCTTGAGATGTCTTGAAGGCCCATGTTGTTTGGTAGTGGCTATGTAGTTCTTGTTCTGTGCTGAATATTAGCGACATTTCAGTACTTAGGTGATGCCACAGTCGGAGTGCTCGGACTTTTGGCTGCAAGCTATTCCAGCGACATGCTGTTGGACCCATGTTGGACCAAGTGATGATTTCCAAGGAATGGCTAGCAGCATCATGGATGTCGTGCGAGTTTGGCCTGAGAAACCTCCAAAGGCCGCATTGACAGAAGTTGATCGCATGCACCTCGGTACAATGGGTTGTGGGCACTTTTTATCACATCTTCTGCATTTGCATGACATCTCCATGATCCTATTGACTCCCAATTCCCAATCTTGACTTGACTGGAGCAGACTGCCCTCGTAGCAAAGGAAGCGGCCCGGCAGCTCGGAGTGGCGTTCTGGGCAAGCAGCCCAAGCCTGCCGCCTACGCAATACTCGGGTTGCACCAGCAGCATAGCACCATCACAGCTCAAAAAGCAGCTGGTGGGCTTTCAGATGCTGGCTACATGGCTTGCAAGATTGGCTTGGCTGCTGAACGGTGGCATCTTGCTTTGCATCGTTGTACAGACATATACGGAGGGCGCAGCAGAGTTGGCTGTGCCCTGGTGATCAGCTGCAAGAATCCATTGATTCTCGCTTGCTTTCACCCAGACCCGCTTGACCGCTTTTAACGGCCTGTCGTGAAAGAACCTTGCGTCCCGGCCAAAGTTTCGGAGCATCGGCCATAGGTGTGGGTTTGCTGTGCCCAGCTGTTGGCTTGTCCATGTGTGGGGTTGGAGCCTGGCTCAAGGGCACAGGCCGGAACGCGAAATGATCGGTGGCTCATGGGGCACTCGACATCGAGTGAATCCACAGCTAGTTCGGAATCGCCCTCACCAAGCAGCTTGCTATGGGTGAAAGTCCGAACAGGTAGCAAGCTTCAGACCCCTACAGCCCTAAATGGTGATAACATCATCAAAATCTGCCGCTGGCTTCAAGGGAAGCCCCATAGCTGGCGAATGTATGTCACCATTTCAGTGGGCCGAGGACAAGGTCAGACAGAGATTGTGCAGGTGAAGAACCAAGGGGATTCGGAGGTTTCTTTCAGTCACACACCCATCCCCTTCACTCTGGAAGACATTGTCGCGCATGAGCATACCACTGGACTTGGACCACGTGCGACTTCCTTAGCGTCAATGTCTTTAGCTTCCACTTTGTTGGATCGAAGGATCCCGGAAATGACCATTAAGGTGTTCCGGGTCCGACGTTTATGTCAAGATGCCTTGGTGGGTATGGCTCGCTTACCCATCAGCACCACAGAGCTAGCTGGCACCTCGAGGGATCACAGCATTTATTTGGGGAATGGTTGTGGCATGATCACTGTGCGCTGCAGTTTCAACTGCTCTGTGGCAGATTTGCCGAATCTTCAAAGTGTATTGGCTTATCCAAAGCGCCACTCCTTGGCCAAGTTTGCTCAAGCTTTGGCTCAGCTGCTGCAAGGGGAGGATGGATTGGAGCTCTTAAGGCGTGCATTGCCTCCAGCTATTCATGTGAGAGCAGAGAATTCAAAGGAGGGCACTGCGGTGATGCAGAGCTTTTTGGTGTCTTTATGCAATCAGGCTGGGTTTCTGAGAGCCATTTGGCACTTTGCATGATGTTATACACATTGAACACTGGGAAAACTTGCCGTGTCGTGTGCGGCACAGGCCATAGTCTTTCGTTTTGGACGCCAAAAGAGCTCACCCTGTGTCAAGACTCTTTTTTTGGCCAGATTTGCAGGTCAGCATGCTATCGGAGGATGAGAGTGATGCGGAAGTCATGCAGCGCTTGGCCCCATTGTCAAGGAGCATACAGGATTTCATTGCTCAGCAGCTCCGTTTGAAAGACACAGAAAACATAGATGATAGTACATCGAATAAGTATTTACTGTAGAAGGAACGGCACAGAATGAGTGGAGTCATAGGTGCATAGATGAAACAGTTGGATGCACATGAGGTGAGGGATGCTTGCATTAAGAGATTGAACAGATAAGAGGAGGGAGGGGGAGGGCAAGAAGACCTGTAGCTTACCAGGGAACTGGCAACAGTGTGCAGTATATTTGGAGGATCGAGCAACTGTTTTCATTTTATGGACCGCCCAGGTACACAAGCTCAGAATCTGATGTGGCAAACCTGGCAGAGAGGTGGCTAGGAGAAACTTTCTCCTTATGCGCCCGAAAGGCTGGAAACAGCCAGAAGCTTGCGTCGATGTGCTCTGCTCAGAAGCATTTCACAGCATCACTCACATTATAACTCAGCATGAGAAATCGATCTGCACTGCAGGCCTCTTGGATCCTCTTGGTGTATGTTTGTTCTTTTCTCGCCTTTGGTGCCCGAGGAACCACTATATGATCAAGGAGTTTCTGAGGAAGGGAGAGCAATATCCTGGTTTGGACCACTTGGTGCCAATTGATCGGGATGGCCACCAAATCCCGGATTGGGTGAACTCACCATTGCCAGTGAGACGAGATTATGTCCCCCATGAGGCAATTCTTGGGAAAGGGATGTTCGGCACGGTTTGGCGAGCCATGGACTCCAGATCGGGCCATTGGTATGCCGTGAAGAAGAGTCACACTTATCGGCAGGCCACAGTGGCCAGAGAACGAGAAGTCACGAACCATGTCTTGATGAATCCGCATCCCTTCATTGTGCAGATCTTTGGCAACCACTTTATTGAGAGCGGCACAGGGTTTTCCTCTTTGGTCATGGAGTTTTGTGCAGGGGGTGATCTTCAGGACAAAGTAAATGCAGGTCATCTACTCGGTGAGTATCATATGCCGAAAGAGGCATTGACTTGGCTGGCCGAAATCTTCCTTGGTTTAGACCCTCAGCTTCACAAGGGAATGCTTTGCACCTGCCCAACTGCAGTGGGGCAGATGTTGCCCAACTTGAGAGTCACTAAGGAGCACTTGCATTTAGTCCTGGGCACCCTACAACGAGACTTGAAGCCCAGAAACGTGGTCTTCTCTCAGCATGGCAGAGCCAAGCTCACTGACTTTGGAATGGGACGAATAGGCACGCTGGCCAACCTGCAGCAAATGCCGAAACAGAAAAACTAAGAACTGCTAGTCAAACACTTAGATGACGATTTACCCATGCCATGTCCTAAGATGTCATACCCGTCGGTCATCGACCACGAACCCGAGAGGTTTGGTCTCAACGGGAGAGTTCACTCTGCAGAATTGCCCACCTGGAAGCCCGGCCTACGTAGCTCCTGAAGTGGTGCTGCAGAAGCCCTATGCCTCTTGACTGGAGCAAATGCGATCTTAGTTTGCAAGTACTTAATTCAAGTGACACACTTACAATGGACGCTACTAGGAGCAAGAACGCTATTAGGGGCTCCTGGCCGTACTACTAGGAACAAGGACGCTACTAGGGGCTCCTGGCATCGCTACTAGGAGCAAGAACGCTACTAGGGGCTCCTGGCCGTACTGCTTGAAGACTTGCAATGGCCAACAAGGACTGCAAAGCGGACATCTATTCCTTTGGCGTGGTATGTTGGAACGTGCTGACCGGTGGGATTCGTGATGCGGCAGGGGATTGGTCGACACCCTGCTGCCCATTCTCTGCACATAATTTCATGAAGTTGGCGAACAACCACCGTTTGCTGGAAAGGTATGTCGCTTGATGTGCACCAGAGTTTGACCATGAATGAATCCAGGTTGAACGCAAGTGCCCACGCCAGAAAGCAAGACCTACATACATCATACATCATGCATTAGAATACGGCCAAGAGGAAAGCAAGACCTGTATCTGCATGGCGGTTGTGTTTTCTTGAGGTCAAAACTCCGCAGAGGCACCAGCTGCTCGTGTGGGTCGTGTTAGTCTGTGCTGCGTAGTCCTTTCATGTGGGACGGCAGCTGTGGGGATGGTGGACCGATTGCCAGGAACTCTGCTCGGCCTTTGCCCAGCGACGAGGCGAGTGACTTTGTTCTGGCATTGACGAAGCCAGATCCGGATCAAAGACTTGATCATGGCCCCAATCTTGGCTTATCCAGATTCCTTCTTTGCTGTGGCTTTGTTGCCTGTCCCATTGAACTCCTTTTTTTCGCGGGGGGCTTGGCCAAGGCAAAATCCGGGCGACCCGATTCATGTCAGCATTGAACTTGCCCCCGGCAGAAGCCCGGCGGTCTCAGATTGAAGAGTGGCTGCGCTCCCAAGCAGCCAATTCGCGCAATTCGTAGCGTAGGATAGCTTGGAGACTCAATTCAAGAATGTGAGGTGTTATGTATGTTTCTGGCTTCAGCATGCCTCAAAGAGGCATTTCAGCGACTGTGGCTGCTTGCGCATACTATTGAAAGAGTCGGACTTGCCACGATGCATCCACTAAGCACCCGGGGAATATTGGATTAGATCATGTTAGCCAATGACATAGACTGACTTGATCAGGAGGACGATGAACATGAGGAGACTGAGATTGCCTTAGAGCTTGCCAGCACTCCATCGCCAGAAACCTGGACATTGTTTTCGATGTTTCTTCTCTCTCTCTCTCTCTTCTCCTTGCATTTGAGGGAGAAGGATCTACAGTATACATATATGAATATGATAGCCGCTTCAGTTCCAGAGCACAGTAAATGCCCAGGTCTTTGACCCTGGCAGAGCAGCACCGCACTCGGCGTGAATTTTTATTCGTGTTGATAGGGTGGTGTTGCGGTTGCTGCAGCTTGTGCAACACTAGAGATGGCGGGTCCAATGCATTGGATGCCCTGCAAGGACAGCCCGAGTGGATGTTGACGAGCCTGTCAGGGTGCTGCAGGTTCTCATTCAGTGCTTTGGCTTGCACTAGGTCACATCAAGACTCCTGTGTCAGTGGCTCTCCAGTGGCTTAAGCGAAATGGGCTGGCTGCACGGACTAACAATTGTAGGCCGGGCAAGAAGGCCAAGGCGTCCGCAGCGGAGAAGGCGCCTGCACACTGGGAACGCGTTGCAGTTCTAATAGCGTTTGGCATCAAATATCCAGCGACTTGACTCGCGGATGTCATGGCTGAAAAACATTTTCTTGCTTTTTTATTGCAATTATATAGATTATATAGCTCTTTTTGGAGCCCTACTCATCCATTGCATACGCATTAATTATACACTTGGGCGACGCCCTATCGTTGCTTTGGAATGCAGGCGAGGAAGATGTGCCTCTTTGCTGACCGGACCTTAGAACAGTTGGGGGAGTTGTGACACACTGCCATGCAGTTAATGAGAGGGGCACTGCGAAGAAGCCAAGGCCAAGGGCGGAGCTTGAGATCATTCGCTTTTCGCACGTGTGAAGGAATTAAAGTTGTGTCAAAATTCATGCCCTGAAGGCATGTGCATGCTGCATGTGTGTCATGTGAATGTCATAACTCATGACACACCTTTGTGCTGCATGTTCCTCAGGGTTTTTGCAAGCTTTCCCACTTTCAGCATGTGGGGTTGCAAGGTGTTTTTTTGTGTACAGTCGTTGCTCGAAGATTTGCAAAAACATGGTGCGAAAGTGAGTATGACCTGACCAGGCATGACAGGCATGCTGTTTGAACATCATGGTGGTTGGACACTCCCAACTAGTCCTCTCATGCGTGCGGCCGCAGGCTTTGAAACAATGCTACCGCCAAAGATGCACCATCGTGGAGTGCATTCACGATTGCAACCTGAGAATGAGTGCAACCTGGAAGGAACCGCACGACATGTGAATCAAGCACAGGCGCGTCCCACACCCTCCACACATCTCCGCACACACTACATTCGAAATTCTGCAAAACTGCTGCGGCCTTGGCAATCGAGCGCCATGGCCGAGTCTTCCACCGCAGGTCTTGCTACAAAATTTGATTCAGATGACCCATGTGATGTGTTCTTGCTGCTGTTGGCAGGTCAGCACAGCTTGGCGATGGCCTGAATCAATCGAAGCTCATTGTCCAAGCGTGCTCTGAGCTGATGGTCAAATCTCAATCCACCGGATGTATATAATTACATTCAGGTGGGCCAGCGGGCCCGTGTTGGAGGGAATTTGGCAACAATTCGCTGGGGGTGGCCTGCCTCAATGTGGCAATCACTTCTCTGGTTTTTGCAGGTTCTTCTTGAACTTTGAAGCCAAGTGGCTAAGGCCAGGAGAGCTACAAGCACCCAAGAAGCCAGGAGAGGGCTACCCAGATGCAGTTGGGACCTGAGGTGACAAGTTTCAGTTTGTATCCCGGAGTCGTGCTGCGCGATTTCAGGCTCTAGAGGTCGTGGGGGTGGAATATGATGAGGTGCCTTGTGGTGAAGTTGATCATCTGACATTGGTGTGGGGTGTGCTTGAGTGCAGATGCCTGGCTAGCCTTTTTTTGGCTCATGCAGTGCTCATTTGACAGAAGGCCTGCCGGTCATTTTTTTGATATTTTTTGTATCCACCATGGGCACCTGCCCTGCAGAGCACACTTGACACAGCAATGCAGCAATACGATTGGTATTGTTGGAAACCAGGGGCATACGGTGACTGTAGTGACGAACCCTTTGATGCCTTTAAACCACATTCATGAAGGCCTGTTTTGAACCCAATGCACGTTTGTGGTACTTGGAGTTTCCTGCGGCTGGTGTGATCCATGCATCGGTGGAGGCGCTGTGGAACAGTTGAGTTGCTGCCTTCGAATTGATCATGTCTTGTTGGTTCATTTCATGCTCCAGGACGAATAAATGGCGAGCGATTCCGACCTGAGCCAGCAGCTCTTGAATTCGCGGAAGCTGAGCTCTCTGAGTTCACAGAGTCTAGAGCTTAAAAGAGGCAAAATACGTATATATGTATATAAACAAATAGAATTTATGTATATATTAAGAAAACACATATATTTATAGTATACACATATATATATATTGGGTGAGGCTGAGAGAGAGAAAGAGAGAGAGAGAGAGAGAGGGAGAGTGCGCGCGCGGGTGTGTGTGTGTGTGTCAGATTTGGCCTACTATTGTGTATATGCATATTCCCTGGAGTACTCCACGTAGTGGAAAGGCTGTGAGGGACGAGACTCGAATCGCAAGTTGGCTGTGAGCTGAATGATTTGAATGTGAGAGTTGACCCTATGCCCCCGAATTGGACATCCGCCTTCTAACGGACATCATGGGGCTCGGTTACTGCTTTCAGGAGTGTGAAGAGACAACCCCTTTGGCTGTGGGTGCTGCAGCAATCTTTGGCCGTGTTGGTTGCTGTTCTCATCACGGTCTTGGACAACTTCCCTTATGGCTTTCTACTTTTCCCAGGGGCTGAGGGCTTGGGGATTGCAGTGGTTTTGCTCTCCGCAGCTGTCGCACAATTAGTCTTTGCCGTCTACTCTGACCTTCCCGTGGGACTAGGATGCATGATCGTGGAAAACACGCCGATGCTTCACTCGATGGCAATCTCAGTGTCCGGGACGCTGTCCAGCAGCCCTGAACAGATCATACCTACGTTGCTGGCATTATATGCAACCTCATCACTCTTCACCTCACTTGCATTTTTCCTGTTGGGTTATTTTCGATTGGAACGAGTCTTTAAGATCCTGCCGAAACCAGTGTTGATGGGATGTATTGCTGGCATGGGGTTCTATATTTTTACAGCTGGACTGGGTGCTTGCACCGGAGTCAACTGGGTTTGGAATGAAGAGCATCTCTTGGCACAAGGGCGGCATTGGCCGAAAATCATTATGCTGCTTTGCTTGGAGATTTTGTTACTTTATTGCTTGAAGCTGTCCAAGGCCAAAGAACTAGACGCTTTCGTATTACCTGTCTTTTTCCTTGGATTGGTAGCTAGCAGCTGGACGGCTCTTGCGCTGCTTGGCTGGTCACATCAGTCTGCCCAAGAGGAAGGATGGTTTTTCAAAGACATCCCTCATACAAGCATTCGCCTCTCGGATTTTCATGCCGGTCTGATAGCGTGGGGAGTGTTCCCTTATCAACTCCCGTTACTTTGCGGCGTTGTGATTTTTAGTTGCCTACATGTTCCTGTCAATGTGCCAGCGCTGGCACATGCAACGGGGCGCAGGGTTGACATCAATAAAGAGTTGGCAGCACATGGCGCTGCCAACCTCTTCTCTGCAATCTTCGGATCCTTACAAACATACATGGTCTATTCTTCAAGTGTTCTCTATCACAAGTGTGGTGGTGGTGCTCGGGTGACTGGGATTTGTGTGGGCTGCGTGGTGGTCCTGTGCATTCCCGTCGCAAGCTTTGTAATCTCCTGGGTGCCCAGAATGCTAGCAGGACTGCTTCTTTGTCATTTAGGTGTCGAATTGCTCTGGGAATCTTTGGTTGACATTTGGCCCAGCCTCGACACCTTGGAATATATGATTGTGGTGGTGATTGCTATTGCGTGCAATATCAGCTTCATTTTCAGCCTGATTTTTGGCCTTCTTTGTGCATGTGTGGCCTTTGTGGTCCAGGCCGCCCGATCAGATCCGGTGCGCTTTGCTTTCTATCCAGGTCGGGGCATCCGATCCAGGAAGATGCGGAGCCAAAAGGAGCTACAGATTCTGGAAGTGTTTTCTTTTTTGTAGCCTACTAGCAATGTAATGTCCTCCAACCTAATAGCGATGGCCTCCAAACTAATAGCGATGGCCTCCAAACCAATAGCGATGGCCTGCAAGGAGCTACAGATTCTGGAAGAATTTGATCGGAGGGGTGGCTTTTTGATTCTCCGACTTCATGGAGTTCTCTTCTTTGGCAACACGCATTCTCTCTCCAAGAGGGTGCAGAAGGTGAAGTCTCAAGCTGTGATCATTGACTTTTCGCAAGTGATAAGCATTGACTCCTCCGCTTTCAGCAAGCTGGGATGCATTAGAAGAGGTGCATCATGAAAAGGATATTTGTGTATAGATGTATGTATTGTGTATATGGACGCAACTATAGTATCATTATATATATATATATTTATGGAGGGGCATTTTTTTCTCCACGTTTTGTTTTTGTTTTTTCATTTTTTGTTTCCGGATTCTGCTTTTGCTGCTTTTCTGCTTTTGTTATCTTTTGTTACTTTTCTGCTTCTGCTGCTTTTTTTGCTTTTGTTGCTTTTCTGCTTCTGCTGCTTTGTTGCTTTTTTGCTTTGCTGCTTTTGTTGCTTTTCTGCTTTTTGTGTTTTTGTCTTTCTGCTCTTTGCTTTTGTTGCTTTTCTGCTTTGGCACCTGTTCTCCTTTCTCTTTTTGTTTTTTGCTTTTCCATTTGTTTGCTTTCGGATCTGGTGTGCTGCTGGGGGGGAGCGCTGCGCCCCCCCCCAACCCCCCGCGCCACCAAATCTGCACTTCATCTCCGACACCCGCGCCTGCCACGAACTCAATATTTTAAGGTGAACTCCCCGGGGCATAAACTTCTAACCAATCATATATGCCTCCTGTGCTGGTTCTCTTTCTCTTTACTGTTTCTCTGCTAACTTAGGAATTTCTCTGACACCTACACTATTTCAATGTATTTTGCCAGCTACGACAGCTCCCAAATTAGTCTAATCAGCTAGCAATTAATATGAAACCTGCACTATTCCAATGTATTTGGCCAGCTCGACACCTGTGTCTCTGCTAAGGACCCGAAATTGCTGTAATTAGCTAGGTACAAATAAGACACCTGCTCTATTCCAATGTTTTTGAAAAAATCATGAAAACATTAAAAGTACGCCCTATCTATCTATATATATATGCATATATTATCGTGACGGTGCCGGTGCAGTCGTTTTTGGCTCTAAATTTTTCGAATACCTAGCGTGGAACGTGCCCCGCCCCACAAGGCCGCATCTGAAAGTGTCACACATTTTTCACACACTAGTAGCAATTAGCTACTAGTAGCGATGGCCTCCAACCTCCTTGCGATGGCCTCCACCTAATAGCGTCCTTGCTACTAGTAGCTTCTTGTTACTAGTAGTAATGGCCTCCACCCTAGTAGTGATGGCCTCCACCTAGCAGCGTCCTTACAACCAGTCCGTTGTGACCTCAAGTCTTAATTCAGAAGTCAAACGCGGCCGGGTGTTGTTTGCCAATCAAGGAATAGCCGGAGAGCCTTTGATTTAGGATTGACGCTTTTTGTTAAGTTTGCAATTGTTGAAGCAACTTTCGGCTTTCCCCCCTTGAGCCAAAAGATGCTCACGGTTTGCACCATTGCGCTTCCGTAGGACTAGACCAGTGCATTTTGCTTAGGTGAGCTTGACGGCCTTGCTTGGACATTGCAAAGCCATTCCATCACGTTAGTTTGCAGCGGTTTGCATGGGATGTCCAAGGCCTGCTCTGCCGCTGTAGTTCATGTCCATTCAGATTCCAACAAGGGTACACGGTACACATAGTGATCGTACCAACACAGACGCTAGCCCGATAGCCGCTATCCGCTAGCCCTTTCACATATGCGTCAGATCACACACGTGTTTGTCTGTGTCTCCACAGGTGCATCGGCATCCGAACTTTGCAAGCGCAGTTTTTGTGAAGGACCGGGATGAGGGAATGGACCCGTGACTTTGGGGCGTACCATATTATGTGCGGCACATGTTGGAATACTTGAATACTTGTTCGAAGGCACTTCTTTTCTAGCCCTGCGAAATATGGTCCAAGCAGTGCTTCAGTAGCAGAAATTTGAATTGGTTGATCCAAGGTTGATTGACGTGGAAATTAGGCAGGACACGCTGGGTCCAATTGAGGACATGGATGCAGCCGTGATGGGGGTGGAGCAGATGGCCCTTACATCGCTTCTGCCTGCTTCTGCTGCCACACCACCCTCCAGCTGCAGGAGCAAACCTCATCAAGCTGAGTCTTCACAGGTGGAAATGCATTGATCAAGCAAATAGAGAGAGAGAGAGAGAGTGAGTGAGTGAGTGAGTGAGTGAGTGAGCGCGTGATCAATTTGATATTCATCCCAGTTGAGCTGAAAGCATGGGTTGGCAAAGATGGCGCAGGCAGATGCTGAGTTCTTCGAGGAGGTTTGCAATGATCTCCTGGAGCCCCTTGGTGTTCCACCGGGTAGTAGCACTGCGCTTCGTGGATTTTTCGAGTGTGGCACTCAGAAGCGATGTGCAAACATGTGCATTCCAAAGCGTTAGGATGTGCTCAATTTCCACCCTTGCCATAAGATGTGTGTCTCTGTCTCTCTCTCTCTCTCTCTCTCCTTTTCTTTATGTTTTTGTTCAATTCTTTTGGCATCCTAGTGTCACACAAGCGCGCACCGCGCATGGAGAGTGGGTCTCTGAGTCCAGTGAGGTTTCAACGAGCCAAGCAAGGAACGGTTCTTTGGGAGCCCGGCGATCCTGCGGACTTTGCCTTTCTCCTGGTCACCGGGCATGTGGACGTTGCCTGGCCCAAAAAACAGCTTAGCTCAAGCAATCCACTTTGCGTTGAGCAGCTGTGCTCCCCCAACAACTACCACTCTCTCCCTCCTTCCTCCCCTTCTCTCACTTTAAAGTTGACGAACAGTTCAGGTTAACCAGAGGAGTGGGAAATACTGAGGTGCTCGATGAGTTCTGCGACAGATTCGGAAGACAGGTTGAAAGTTTTGTGGAATGCAGTGTTCCGGGACAATTCACCGGTGAGCTCAATCTGCTACCCGGCCTGATTTCATACCGTTGTTCAAGGATGCCAAGGTGTCCTGGGTGAGACCCTTGCACAACAGCGAGCACACTACACCCATCTACACCCCTTTTGCTCACGCAGGTTCACTGGCGAGTCCCGCAAGAACAAGATTGTGGTCCCGTCCTTACAAATGTGAACCCCTGAGACCGAAGCTTCAGTTTCCCAGAGCAACACGCAACGGATCATGCAAGAACATGCGAGTCATGAGTCTCTTCATATATGCACCAACGAACTGGCTGCGAGATTCTACAGGGTGGCCCCTTCTTGGCATGAAATCATGGAAACATTTAGGCAAAGTGAAGTGGCTCGCAGAACGGCAGCAACTTGATTTGCTCTTTCGGAGGCCACAGAGGATCTCTCCATGTGGACACTCACCCTGGATCGCTTTCAGAGAATGCGGCGTGAAGCGTTGCTGAGCCCAATTTGTCCATGAAAGGCTTAGAAACCATCTCACTGGGTCTTTCACGGATTCTTCGTGGTGTGGTCAGGAGAAGCTGATTGTTTTTGGGCTTGAGTGATATGCTCTAAAGAGTTGAGCACCAAAGGCTGCCGCTGGCCTTTGCCTTTCAAAGCATCGCGTTGAGAACTTGGTGGGCGAGTGTAGCAGTGTAGCATGGCTCAGGCATTTTCATCGTAGTGTAGCACCATGGGTAGGATGATCCAAGACATACAGTATGACGACGTGAGCGACACTAGTGAGCAATATTGAGCAATGAAGACTTCAACCTCAAACATGTGGACAGCATGGAGACCCAGGTTGCGCTATGCTGCGCACAGGCAGGGCCAGCAAAAACATTTGGCATCAATCGATGAAGAGTCACTTATTGTTACTAGTAGTAAGGCACTTGTTCCTAGTAGCTTCTTGTTGCTACTAGTAAGGCACCTGTTACTACTAGCGTGGCACTTGTTACTCATTCCACATACTTGATGGACCCTTGCGGCCAGGATGCATCTTAGCATGCTTGATGGCCACGTGCATACCGTTTGACACGGCCACAAAGTTGCCGGTCAAAAGGCAGAAGTACAAGGGGTGATGTATGGCGAGGTGCAAAGGAGTCTGCCCCGAGCGCTCAGAGAGATGTCTCCAAGCTGGGAGAGCGTGACCATTGGATCCTGCTGGGGGTTCAGAAAAAGACTTGACCTAGCACTGCTGCATAATATGCTTCTTTGGTATTGCGTCACCCGGCCTCCTGGCATCCGGCACCGACACAAAAAGTATGTACTCCACGACTGGTGAAGTCCCGACGCACTATCAACACTGCGAGTTGCACAGGAGGGACTGGGCAAGCACAACGGGTCCTATCAGGGCAACCAGCTTTTCACCTGTCCGTAGCTTTGCCGAAACTGGGTCTTTTTCAGATTGCTGTCCATGTTGACGTCAAGACAATGTAGCCACCATAGATTTACAGTTGGCAAACCTAAGGCAAGGGCATGGAAGCTTTGCAAAGGCCACAGCCTCAAAGGCTATTCCAGCATAGAACTTGTTGCGACTGCTTCTTGAATCCTTTGGACCAAGGTGGAGAAAGTTGAGCTTGGCATGTCCGTACAGTGACGTCCTTGGAAGTGAGATACAGGGCGACTCTGACTCTGGTGGGCCCTGTGCGCAAGTTGGGTGCCAACGCTTAGGCGGGCCATAGCTGAAAAATACTTTGCTGCCGCACTTCCTGATGTCCGTGGCCAAGTCTTTGATTTTTTTGCGTTTGTCCTGTGAGAGCTCACCATTGCACTTTCTGTGAAGCAGATTGAGATTCCATGAGATTCCAATATACTTGCCAAGCTACCTGCCGACATGCTTACCTGGCCCTGCCTTGCAAAGAAATCCACAAAAGAATATATATATATATTATATGTATATAATATAAAATAATGTCTCCACACACAGATGCCCAAACAATCTATTTCCACTCAGGACTCTGTTCGAGCATTGATCGTTCCATATTGTTCCTCTACAATGTAGACTCTACAATGACCAAGAGGGTCCTTTGTCTTCTTCGTCTTGCTTCTTTACCTTTCTTATCTTCTCCATCCTGTGCCCTTCTTCTTCTCCATCAGGCAGCGAGGAAGAGTACGCGGGAAGAGACCTTCGATGCCATGGAGTATGTTGACTCAAAGGCACTGAAGGGGCAGTGCTTGCAGATGTCGCAGCAAGGACGCTACTAGGAGCTCCTGGCATCGCTACTAGGAGCAAGGACGCTAGTAGGGGCTCCTGGCCTTACTACTAGGAACAAGAAGCTACTAACGGGAGAACTGCGACTCCCACGCGAAAATCATCTTTTAAGCAGTTTATCGAGGACACAGAGAGTAAAGACGGGAAGGTAGGGGCCCCTTTAATACGGCCAGTTTACAGGAAGTATTTGCCAATGAGATCTTTTTGCATGGGATGCAACCGGTTGCCTTACGTAATTTTCTATTGTTGTATATTCAAAAACTATCCTTTGTTCCCTAACTTGCCCAGTTTGTTCCTGCTGCCTCAGGGGAGGGAGAAATCCAAATCCGTCGAGTCTGCCCGGCACGATTTGGCAACCCACCCGACGAAACAACTAGAGATCCAGATCCCACGCAGCTATGTCGTGCTAGGTTGGTTGGTCGCTATGACATTGAACAGCGCCAACAAAGGCTGGAAGGTTTTGTGGAGTCACTTCCTCAGAAAGAGCATCACACTGCCCTTTTGAAAGCATCATAATGACTTCATCCAAGGATTTCGCTGGCGGAGAGTTGCTTAGCTACGCGGTACCCAGAAGATATTTGGTCTGGGGACTGGACAGCCCCGTTTTGATTTGTGTGTGTGTGTGTGTGTGTGGGAGTGTAGGGGTATGTAGGGGTCAACTGAGTTCGTAAACTTGTGAACCAGCATGGAGCATGGGGCCACATGGTCGTGGGGGCAGAAGCTTTCCAAACCTAAAGAGCCTGTGGCTGGCAGGAATCTCAGTAAAGCGAAGTGTTACAAAGTAAAGGCTGGGATGGGCAGCCATAGTGACGCACGCTTGGACATTCAAGGACAAAACTTTGATCAGCGAGTGGGCTGATGTGGCGGCTATTTGTGAGTTGTGTCCAAACTTGGAATGGCTATCGCTATCAAGGAGTGCCACTGCTTGAAATGCACACGACCAGTCAAAGCAGTCGTGAAAGCTGGGATGTGGGAGGACTCGCTTGAAGCCATGTCCCACGGTCCTTTCTCCTCCAGTTGGGAAGCCGACCAGCAGGAGTCCTATAGTGGAGAGAGCTAAAACGAGTGCTAAAGGTGAACATGAGCAAAAAGTATAAAAAAGTATTCAGTGTATGCTTTTGGTGCCCAGGTGTCTCGGAGTGCTTGGTGCTCAAACCTTTCATTTGCAAAGTTCGTACCCTCGTTCTCAACAGCACAAGAGTGGCCGGAGACCCAGATCGACCCAGCGAGCCTATTTTGCCTCACATTGTCTCTCCAAGACCTGGGCGGACTTGCTTGCGCTTGACGGCCTCGGTGCGCCAAAGTTCCAGGGGGCAGCTTTTGATAACCTTTGGATAAGGAATAGACCCATATCTACATCATAAGATCTCAATAATTGAAAGATAATTACTGCAAGATTGTGATGCTTTTTGCCATAGATATGGAGATTCCATACCTTTGGTTTGTGGACAGAAGCGTGCACCATCATTTCCTTACATTAGTGTTAGCTCTGCATCTTATAATCTGGATCGGGGTGCTGCAACTCTCATTGCTCAATGGTAGAGGTCCAGATGGACCCATTCAGACATATTTTCGATTTGCTTCCGCCCGACTGGACAAGCTTTCTAGAGCCTGGCAGCTTCCTGAGGCTGCAGTGGACAAATGCATCTTCCTTTTCGGATATCCAAACCATTGAATCGTATTGGTGTAACCTTTGCAGGAGTCAGGTTCAACATTTCACCTGCTCCGATTCTTCTGCCATAGAGATCAATCTTGACACGGAATCCTTCAAGCACTCCGTCATTGGGAGAGGTAACTGCCAGATAGTGACTGGGGCTAAACTCTCAAAATCTGAGCGCCAACAACTCTGGTGGCGAGCGTACACAGATCTCGTGGCGTGTCCACTTCTTCCATGTGCCACATACGTAAAGCCTTCAGGGTCCCTCTTGATGACAGCAGGCAATGAATTGAGACACAATCGTGAAGATTTCCGCTTCCCATCCCTTCTGGATGCCCATTCCAGCTCTTGGAATGAAGTGTTGGTTGACCGCTTGTTGGAGGAGGTCCAAATCAACAAGGATTTGATTTCAAATCGATTTACTTCCTGTCACCTCAAGGCCCCACTGGGTGGAGACCGATGTGTGATGTCCAAATTGCCATTGCCACGCCTTGGAATAGCCACAGCCATCCCCTGGAATCTGGAAAAAGGTCCATGGCAAATTGCTTGGCGTTCGTCTTCATACTATGAGGTGGAAATTGCTCGGCCCTCCCTCAAGTGCCCCATGAAGCAGCCCAACACTTCTAGTGCCAGGACTGAATGCATCTCAGTGGGCTTGGCGCTTGCAACCATCCCCTTGCGAGGCTTGTGTGCACAACAAGCTGGTTGGAATCATAGCAGTTGGGCTTTACATGGCGATGATGGCCAGCTTTACCATGGACACGGGAGGGGCCGGACCTTCCGCCCCCTCAAAAACTTTGTTTTGACCGCTGTCGAGGGCGAGGATGGCGTGATTGACCTCACCAAAGATGAGGAGACCACATCTAAGCAACCAGGATGCCCCAAGGTGCCAACGTTCGGGCCGGGTGATGTGGTCGGCTGTGGGGTCGCGAAGTTTCAAAACAGCTTCGGGATCTTCTTTACATTGAATGGCAGCTTCTTGGGGGTGTGCTTCCTCCTCCGTGCTTTCGCAGAACCACGCTTTTGGCCATGTGTGGGTATCGACGCTGCTTGGGACTTGTCCTTCAACTTCGGTTCCAGGCCTTTTCTTTTTAACACAGCAATTGACATCAAAGAACTGCCCAGTTTCAATCACCCCGACGATTTGTCGGCCCTCCTGGACGAATATCCGCCAGCACGTTGGCCTGGGGAGGCTTTCTCACGTGAAGCAGAATCGGAGAGCTACAGTGAGAGTGGCCGTTCTGGCTCACAATCAGTGGAGATGCTGCAACCTGCCGACCATTGGTCAGACAATCCCACCGACACCGAGAGCAGTGATCTTGCGTGACACGCTGGCCCTACGGCCAAAATGGATTGCAAGATGCAGCAGTTTGAAGATGAGCATGGCATTCGCTGTTTCGTGTTATTCCTTTGATGTGAGATGTGAAAAGCCAGAGCTAGGTCTTTTTCCACACCTGGAGCACCTTCACCTGGCACAGAATGGCTTGGAGGAGGTGCAGAGAATGAATGGCCCGGGAGTCTGAATGATGTGCACTCACATGGGTCCACCCTTTCTGGCACAGGGAATTCCGCTTGAGCTGAGCAGCGAAGTGGCAGGGGGGCCAATTGAGCTGATGAACATGTTGAGCTGATTTTTGTTGGAAGCTCTTCTCGCTTTGATCTTCTCGCTTTGCAGTCCAATGATCCATCTTCCTTTAAGCGGGAGTAGGTGGATCCATCGGTCGACCCGGGATGGACTGTCATTGAGGCTGAATCTCGTCACTTGCCACTACCGAAGCTGCAGTCATTGGTTCTTTGCTCGGGTGGTCTCCCAATCTGGGTTGGATTTGGCTCTGTAGGTCTTGCTAGTTGCTTTCGTTGAAGGTGTTCAGTACATAGTAGCTGAGTAGCTTTGATTTGAAGTTTCAGCTCTTTGACTTAGGTGCTGGATAGCAACAAGATTTCTGACTGGACAGTGCTGTAGTGAACTGAGTGGAACAAGTGCCGTGAATCCTCAAAGAGTTGACAGATCACAGGCGCCGTGCCATCGCAGCTTTTCCTTCATTGCAAGCAGGGCGCCAAGATCAACGGGCTTTACTCGCCAAACAAAACTTGGAGTAGTACTGCAGTACTTGTTCAATTGTATTTTACTGTCCGCAGATTGTCTGCTAGGGTTGACTCACACAGACTAGGAACAAATTGCACCCCAATCACAGGACTCAGTAGTATCCTGGATTCAGCTTTAAACGCAGTCCAGGGCTTGCCAGCAGTCCCAGTAGAGGGTTGCAGTTTTCGACTTGGTGTGTTGGTCTCCCTCCCTTCATCAGGACAAGACCAGTTGCTTGGCAGGCATTGCACTTGAACAACAACTTGCTGGGTGAAAGTGTGGATGCTCAGAGGGGTCCTGATTGTCGCTGCAGTGGCTGAACCACAACTAATACACTTGCGTATCGGATTTTTACTGGTCCATTGAAAGAGTGTCTCACAGCAAGCTTGGTCCCCTAAATCTCTTGCAGCGCGCCAAATCTTCAAGCTTGATCAGAGGCATTGAAGGTCTTGCCGCGGCTGCGGCAGACCAAACTCCACGACGCCTTACGGTAGAAACCTTGGAATGCTGATCATGCTGAGTGACCAAGTGGCAGGGTGCCTGGATCCTAAGGGTCTCTTCTTGAATGAGAACAAACTAGTGGCTTTGCTGCAGTTTCAGCTGGTCCTTTTTTGGAACATGGTTTTTCTTGCTCACCGGACATGTTCCTCGTTTTGTCCTGCCGTCTTGTGCAGGCATCGTGGCGCAGCATCGGGGCATTGGCCAACTATGCGCTGCTGGAGTTAAAGGCGAGAATTAGACTTGAATTGGGAATTCACTCAAGAATTCGCAACGACAATCACAGGCTCAAAGGTTGTTTGCGATTTTTGGGATTTGTTTCGTAATGCGCCAGGGAGGGCTTGGGAGACCCCTTGGCGGGGTTGCGCATGTTCAGCACAGGTGCAAAGGATACCACTCACTGACTCCGGCTCGCCACTGGCCTCACCAATGCTTCTGAGACAGGCCATGGTCAGATTTTGTGTGAGTGTTCTATAGGCTGGCGATGATTGGGTTATGATCCTGAGTCCTGAGTCTCAGAAGAAAGTCTAAGACGGTTTCAGTGCATAGCTTGCCGCAGATTCTCATTGCGTTAATGCCAACGCTTCTGCGGCTCAATGCGTCAGAGGTGACTGTGAAGGCCTGTTTTATGAGTTGCTTTGCTCGAAGCATCATACGCTTGTGGTGAGCCTGTGGACGATGTGACCTCTTTTTCCCGCTTCTTTGTCCCGATTTTGAAGGAGCGGACGGCAGCAGAAAGGCAACTGACTGAGGGAACTGAGTGGAATAGATTTGGTGATTGACCGCTCGCTTACAGGGGGGTGATCTACAGATGTCTTTGCGGAGGCTTTTGCACTTATCTGAGGTATTTCCTGTCAGTCGCCCAGCTAGACAACCCTATTGCAACTGGCTCAGCGCTGGGGGCTGACTTGTCACCCAGTCCTTTCTTGTGTCAGCATCATCCAGGTCAAAGGGCTTGCAGAGTCATGCAAAATCTCAGAGCATGTCCATCGCTCAGACAAGACAACTTCTTTACTGCACCTGCGACAAGCCAGTCTTATGACCCCACTTGGTTGACTCGCGCTGGTCCTTCTTGGTACCCCTCTAGGGAGGTTGGATCACACAGCTGGGTTCTGGCATCTTGACTCAGTTCATCTCTTTTAATCTCTTTTGAGCTCAGGGCCCATGAACACATCAACTCACCACCGCACCTGTCGCTTTGTTTGCATCATTCCTCACCGCTCACTGCTAGGGAGAGGTGCCCAAATGGAATCGGCCAGGTCGAGCGGCTGCGTGCCATCCATGGGAATGTGGCCAGAGACCCAGACAAGATCAATTTTAGATATTTTGGTTTCTGAGATTGGCAGCTGGATGGAACTGTTCAAACCATTTCAGAACTTGGAGACCTGGAAGATAATGTACTCGCACAATTTACTGGATGGGGTCATGTTCAACGGCTATATCGAGGGGCATGCAGTATATAGTAACATAGTGGTACAGTATCAGTATAGGCCTAGCCTAGATATGGTACTCCCATCGGCCCAAATTCAGGAAGTGCTCTATGCACAAACGAACCAACCCTCAAAGACATAATTCCTGTACTTTCTCACAGTGTCCTACAAAAGCGTCAAGCAAGAGTGTCCTACAAGAGTGTCACACAAAAGTGGCCCACACGAGTGTTACCGAAAAGTGTCACAGAGAGAGAGAGAGAGAGAGCGCAATGTATTTATTGGGCAAGGCGGGCAAGACCAAAAGGGTCTCAACTCGAAAGCGTGACTTGCTCCCTTGACACAAGCAGACCATGCTCCCTTGGCAAAGCGTGACTTGCTCGAAAGCAATCCCTCGGGACAGAGATTACGTCGCTGGCGCGGGGAGTGTGTGGCCTGGTGGGGACTCACATCATACCCGGGCGGGAAGAAAAAGCACAATTCCACGACGGTCACAGTCATGACCTGGGCACGAGGGGAAAATTGACAAGGGCTTGGCCGCTAGCATTCGGAAGCAGACCATGCTTTTGCAGATCAAAAGTCTGCAGAAAATACTTGTGCAACTCTTGTAGGACACGCTCGCATAGCGCCATTGGTGGGAAGGTGTCCATCCTACCACCAGCACCAGCCACCAGCCTTCGCAAGGTTTCCAAGTGATGCTTCCATTTTGGATCGGCGATCTCTGTCGGGACTCTGTTTACCAAGTTTACCAGAGCCAGAATCACCAAGAGGGTGAACTTGGCAGTGTTCAGATGCGTTGGGAAAGGTCAATGGAGGGCTGCTACGGTTTGTTGTGACCCCGACTTGTGACTTTCCTTTGGCTGCTGTCCATCGCAACAAAACCTGGCTAGTCCTTCGCATTAGGAATCCTGCATTAAGCCAGGCCTCCCATTGCGCAGAAGCAGAGCGCATCATGTTGACCGGTGTGTGGAACAGGGTGCTAGAACAAGGCGACGCGAGCACAGTCCAAGCATGAAAGCACTCCTTTCCTTGTGAAACCATGCGCTGGTAAGGGTGGCTCGCCATGTGGAAGCTCACAGCGCAAATATGCCCTATTTCGTTATTTGCACCGAACGTCAGCTGCAACAACCTCAACAAATTGAGAAGTCAAAACAGAATATGAGGAACCTTGTTTTCAGTGGTTGCCGTTCTGGCTTCAACGTTGTTACCTCCTTTCCAAGAATGTTCGCCGGATGTCAATTTATGTGTCCCCGTGCGCGTTGCATAGCGTAAAAGCAATAGTACTTGAATTGTTATTGGCACCATCCCCCAATCTAATATTTGCAAAAAAAGTATGTCAATTTCCCAAGAGTCTTGGCGCCCTTTGGTGTCAATCAATATATGTATATACATATGTTTACCTCGATAGATAGCTAGGTAGGTAGATGTACAGACAAAAACATATATACTGTATATATATATATATATGCTACCCCCCAGATCTACCCATTTTTTAAAACTGTTTTTGACAGATGCAGATGGTTGTGGACCAAGATGTGGCTGTGATAAGAGAAAGATTGATAGATGCAAATGAGCAAAGGAAACAGAAACTGGAGGACAAACAATTGATTGGATAAGAAGACAAACATGGTGGATCATTATATAAGTTAAAAAAGACGAACACATTTTTCCAGTTTCCAGGGGGCTTACGGGAGAGAAATAGACAGCAATAACCATACTGAACAATTATATAAAGGCGTGGACATTATTGCGGGGATGTTTTCATTAAAATCATACTAGAGCAAAAACGCACACAATATTTGAGGTGATAATATTTTTTACATATGGAAAAGCAACGGCGTTATAGAATCATGGATGTTTTTTAACGCCCAAAAGGGTAATTATTGTTGACGGGGGTTGTATTATTCACGTTTTCTAGTGTACCACCTCCTTGGTGAAATAGATTTTTGCAATGCAACAATTTACTATTGGGTTTAAAATATATTTGACTATATCAATGACTATAGAAATTCAAAGGGCATCAGTAGGAAGCGAAAGGACATTGAAAGAACATGACTAGGGAACCAGAAGGAGTTCAAAAGGACATCTATTGGAACCAACATAGGAACTTACACGCCTTCAGAATTTAAAAGGTAATCATTCAAAGCCAAGCCAATAATCTGAAAAGGGGAATCACAAAGAATCACACAGGAGAAATCAGAAGGGTTTATACAACAGGAAGCCATTTAAACACAAATAAAGGGCAACCAACAAGAATCAAATGTAATTCTAAAGATTAACAACAATTGTAGTCAAAGAAATTTAAAGTGGAATCCTCTGACATCAAAAGGTTGGTAAAAGGGCATCAACAAGAGCCAAAAGGAATCCAAAAGGACATTAAGAGGACATCATCAGGAAAAAAATGGGATATAGGGACTTAAACTGCAGACTTCCCACCGCTAGGGACTTAAACTATTGCACATAAACTAAACTAATTTTTAAATGACATAAATATTGGCTTGCGCGGCTTGAGAAAGCCACATATACACTTAGAAAGAAAAATAAAAGGATTTACTGTAAAAGGAACATAATCTATTTATATTATATAGAAACTTTGGGGCCCAACATTTAAAGATACTATACATATTTGGCCTTTCTGTGCAACTATATCCTTAAGACAGCTAGATATATCCTTAGACAGGACCATGACAATTACGGATTGTTGGGCCCGAAATCTATACATATTGTAAATAGTGAGTTTTCCCGAGTTCCTGGAACAATGAAGTTTACTAATGTTATACACATTGAACATTTTTATAGTATCTATAAATTTCTGGTGCCTAACATTTACAACTATTATATGGAGGGCCATTTAATTTTGGATGTTTTTTGTTTCCTTTTTTGGATATTTTTTGTTTTTCGTGGCTTCTGGCTTCTGGCTTCTGTGGCTTCTGGCTTTTGTGGCTTTTGGCTTTCGTGGCTTCTGTGGCTTTGTGGCGTTTGGCTTTTTGGCCTATCCAACTATCTGTCTATATATCTATCTGTCTATATCTATTTGTCTATATCTATCTGTCTATATCTATCTATCTATCTATCTTTCTTTCTTTCTTTCTTTCTCTTTGGCAGCTGTTCTCCTTTCTCTTTTTGCATTTGCTTTTCCTGTTGTTTGCGTTGCAGAGACGAAACCAAACAAGGAAGCAAGCAAGCAAGGAAGCAAGCAAGCAAGCAAGCACGAGCTGCTCACCTTTGGATCTGGTGTGCTGCCGGGGGGGGCGCTGCGCCCCCCCCCCCCCAACACCCCCCCGCGCCACGAAATCTGCACTTCATCCCCGCGCCTGCCACGAAATCAATATTTTAAGGTGAACTCCCCGGTGCAAAACTTTCTAACCAAGCAAATATGCCTCTATCTATCTATCTATCTATCTGCCTATCTGCATTTCAACATCCACAAAGTACAACACCTGCCACGAAATCTGCACTTCAAGGTCCACAAAGTCCTGCGCCAACGAAATCTGGCCACAAAGTACTACACCAATCTGCACTTCAAGGTCCACAAAAAGTCCTGCGCCTGCCACGAAATCTGCGCTCCAAGGCCCACAAAGTCCTGCACCTGCACCCACCACGAAATCTGCACTCCAAGGGCCACAAAGTACTACACCTGCCACGAAATCTGCACTTCAAGGTCCACAAAAAGTCCTGCACCTGCCACGAAATCTGCGCTCCAAGGCCCACAAAGTGCTTCACCTGCCACCAACTCTGCACTTCCACATCCACGACAAAGTCCTGCACCTGACACGAAATGTGCATTGCAAGGTCCACAAAGTACTGCGCCTGCCACGAAATCTGCACTCCAAGGGCCACAAAGTACTACACCTGCCACG